TGAGAGTCCCAGGGAAGACCTGTGACTCAGGAAAACACAGACACATCTGTACAGGCAGTTGTAGAGGCTCTTGATTCTTGCCGTCCTGGCAAGGACTTCTCCACAGACCTGTGCAGAGTCGTCTGCTGTCAACACACCATAACTTGTGGGTGAGTCGGCATCTTGCAGCACAGCGGGCCTCGCTTCCACATGGTGAGACAGACGCTGGCATTGATAAAGCCTCTGATGGTTGACTCTGGTGGGGTCAATGGCAAAGCCACCTGCCGACTGACAGAATGCCATCCTGGCTGCGATGTATGGAGTCACTCAAACTGAGGCCTCCAGGGATCTGAGGATCAGGAGCCATCAAAGGCACGAGAAAAACTGACCACCTCCAGAGGGAGTCCCTTCTCAATGATTAGGCTCTAAAAATGCTGTTTTCAATTGTAAAGTGAACACCAACACTTGGCGGTGTGGTCTACGACATTCAAATGTGATCTTGAGAATTTTGAGATAAGACAGATTGTGCATACGCAGTAACCCCAGGCTTTGGGGGACTGAGACAGTTTCCTCTGCTGTCCTGTGATAACCTTGAGGAAAAGTTTTAAGGGATCAAGTGCTGTATCCCGAGTAGCTCCCGGATAGCTCAAGTTGTTTGCCTTTATTCTGGTTGGAGCCAGTTGTTGGGTGTAGAAGCTGGCGCCTTGGTAATGGCCTGTGGGATCACTTCTGACTACAGCATAGCTTTCTGTCCTTGTTATGGGCAGGCTTCTGGTAGCTTCCTCATTTGAGGAAGCAGGAAGGCAGGGTCTCCTGACATATTCCACAGACCCAGTGAGCTGGACTTGAATGAAGGGCCCCGTGGGGGGTGTCTGAAGTTAGTTTCATGTCCTTCATGAAGGCTCTTTGGCTGCTGTTACCTATAATGTCTTATCTGGCATCAATGAGCCTGGAGAATGTCAAGGTTCTTTTCTCAACCTTTTTACCCTGTTTTGCTTTTTAGACTGCATCTTTCTTCCCCTCCTGAAAATGCTTTCCCATCTCCAGGCACTGGACAAGAGACACTGTTCTGGTGTCTCTGAGACTGCCAGGATGTCTGTGTGCTGTCTTTCTCTACTTCGGGTTCTGAGTGACTCCTTGGACAAGTCAGCCAATGGATCTGTTGACATGGTTGACTAAGAACTTCATCCAGCAAGACTTGGATCAGTTGGTACACCTCTAAGTTGGAAAGGAATAGGGCAATGTGTAGACCTCAATGGGACAGAATGTCACTGGCTGACTTCTTGATAGAGAACTACACCTTGTGAATCTCACCAACAGTGTGTGTGTGTGTGTGTGTGTGTGTGTGTGTGTGTGTGTGTGTGTACAATGGGAAGGGACTCCCACTGCACCTGAAGCATTCAGGAGGCACCATGGTCTTCTCCCGGAGTGGTTGCTGTGTTTAAGCTAGTGTGGCTACAGGGATGTTCACAGTGCAGCAGCCAGGAGCTTCTGGGTATGTGTTACAGCACAGTGAGCTAGGACTACAGTTCCAACAATACAGGGCTGTAATTCCTGCTCAGTGCCTGTTGCCACCCAGCTCTGCAAGGTTCCACTCATGTTTGTCTCTCAGTTTCTTCATCTGTGGTTATTGGAGAGATAAATTCCTGATGCATGATATCCTCATAGTTCCTTCCCAAAAATAAAGATTTCAGAGCCCTTTTTTATAATTATTAAATAGTTGATCTTATTTAAGTATCACTCCAAAACTCATTTAGTAAAGAAATAAAAGTATCAAGGTTATTTAGTGGAGAGGATGCTGCCATTAAAGAGATTTTCAAGTATGTACAGCCACTCACTGCATCACTGTGGGCTGCGTATACAACCAAGGCCCTGGAAATTATGTCACTCAGTGATGTCATGATCACCTAAGTGGGCATAGAACATCGACACGGCAGAATCACCTGATAATGCATTTCCCAGGGCGTGTTTCGGTTGTTAGTGACACATGACTGATTTGTAAATACTGATTGTGTTGAGTTTTGTGAATCCATTCAGAGATGATTTAGGAGTCTGTGTGTCAGAATTTGCCCAGGAAGAATGGCTTTGTGAAGGATATAAGCTGGTGAGGCAATTGCTGGAGCCAAAGCTATCCCAGAGCTCATTCTATAACCCAGGCTGGCTTTCAGTTCACTTCAGCTCCCAAGTGCTGGGCTTACAGACATAAGCTCTATACCCTGCTGCTATGTAAAGTCTCACAGAACAAGAAACTGATGTAGTCAGAGAGTGTTCCAGGAGTTCCTTCATAAGTAGTAGATTTGATGTAGACCCTGAATCTAGAGTCTGGTAATCCTAATTTAAAACCTGCCATATTTACCTGGCATGGAGTTATATCTGGGAAAGCATTGGAAGGACTGTTTGCCTTTGTTCTTTCCTATCATGGTGAAAAAAGTTGGAGTCCCTACAACTTCAGAAATGGGCTGACTTGCAAAGCTGATGACACAAATCAGGAGGGAACAGCCCAGCCCTGCCTGGCCTCCTGGTCTCCAGCCAGGGGGTGCTTGTTTCGTTCTGTGCCTGGCAGGTCTGTAGCTGTCACTGGTCTTCTGTGACCCACCAGCTCTAACTGTGACTTACCTGGCTCTGTTTCGCTAAGGCTGATGGGGGAATATGCCCTGCCAACTCTGAAATGAATACGCTCTGCCCTGGTGGTTGTGAGCCTGATTGCTCTTGGCAGTTGTGACTTCCCGTTTCCGAGATAAATGATCTACAGAATTTATTAGAAAATTTCAGAGGGCTTTTGTGAGCCTACTGCACCACAGAGTAGAGAAAATAAATAATTTAATTGCAAATGAACTCTGACCATATGGGATGTTCTCCTGATGCTGGCGTCTGCTGTAGGAAGCAGGCTCTGGGGATGGTCTGGGAAAGGTGGTTGACAGTGCACAGAAGCTGAGATACTAAGGAAAAGAAAGCTTCAAAGTGCGTGAGAATCGAATCAAGCCCTTGGAGAAGTGACTGCATCCCTTCTCTTTGTGGGCCCTCTCTTTGTGACTTTTACCCACACTCCTGTTGTCCTGAGAACAGCCTTGGGCCAAACTCTCTCTTGTCTTCTCCGCAGGGAGACTGCAGTTCGATTTGTTTAGAGTCAGCTGGGCAGCGCATAGTGTGCCCATTCCTCGGGGAACTCGTCTAGACTGAGCTCTTGTTTCACGCTTGAGAGCAGTAGGGACCAGGTGGCTAGTGGGAGGGTATGTGGAGTTAGTCACGAGTTTAAACAGATGGGATATGAATACGTGGACTCACGCCCCTGCTTGACACTAAGTGGCCCTGTGACTTTATCTGCTTGTTTCTGGACACGAATGACTTTCCTCCTGACTCCGAGGCATGGTGTGGACAACCAGGACACAGATGGGAGTGGCTGTTCTGACTTAAAGGTTCCGTCCAACCTAGGCTGTTGTGTTGGGTTATCAGCTGTTCTGTGGGCCTGGCCACATTCTAGGGTCCTGGGAGGAAGATTGGCAGCTGCTGGTGGCAGGAGCCTCACAGTCCATTAGGACAGCTTTTGTCTCTTCCACAGAGTCGTGTGGTTAATGCCTGAACTCCATACATTGGAGTTCCAGGATGCACACCACAGCCAAGAAGCTTGGGTGGTCTTGACGAAGCCCACTGCTCTGGGAACTTCATTCTTTCCTCTCTGTTGATCCCATGCCTATAGAATTCAAGGGTCTTTGGCTTATCACGGGTCAGCATAGAATAGTCCAGGGGACACCAGGTCTCCTCGGATGAAAAACAAGTGCAGGCTGAGAATGTTGGACCTGCGCAGCAGCGAGTGCATCCCCTGGACTTACAAGGTCCCATGTTCATCCCATTTTGCTGTGTTACAAAAAGTTTAAACTTTTGTATATTGAAGGAAACTTTGGCTATAACTTATACACTGTTCTCAGATGCCTTTAAGGGGGGGTAACCAGCGGTTCATGAAGCAGCCCCAGGCACCCCACAAAAGCATGGTCTTCTGCCTAGAAGGACAGCATTGGGGATGGCCGGTTCAGAGTAACTGTCTGAAATGGCTGTTCACATGTGTTGGTGAAGCGTGCTAACCATCACAACTAACATACGGCAGTCTTCAGATTCTATCTGCGCTTGGAATTCCTGGTCTAATAGAATTAGCCAGAATTGGTGCTGGAGCTAATGTAGATGGTGAAGGGAGGATGCTCGGGAGCACTGCCTGATGCGATCAGAGAGGTGCTCCTTCACTTAGCAGCATCCTCAGATGAGGGCCAGAAGGTAATCAAACTTAGCGGTGGGCAGACATGGTGGTCACATGACGCACAAACCTTTGTCCCTCAACACACTGGTTCTCGCTCGGTGCCCATGCAAAGCCCTCAACACACTGGTTCTTTCTCAGTGCCCATGCAAAGCTCTCAACACTCACTAGTGTCCCCACGACACATTGCTTTGAGAGCGTTAACAATGGGAACATTTCAAGTCAGTTCAAGATTTTTAGAAACTGGCTAACTTGTTCATAAGAATGCCAGACAATATCGGCAGTGGTGGGCAGAGCCAAGGTTTGTCACGGGGCAGGGCTTACATGGGGGTGGGAATAGAGACTGCAGGTCGAAATGGGCTAATCTAGCTCATTAAAGCAAGGAAAGCCACCTTCTCAGCATGACAGAGAAAAAGCCTCCTGGAGACTAGTAATTAACAGCACCTAACCACTCTGCTGTATCTTAATATCTACTGCTAGCTCTCGCCAAAGAGTATGTAGCTTGTCTGGCCTAAAGGGGTGAGAGGAAGTAGAGGAAAAGGAACATCATAACGTCTCCAAGCTCTGTTTTCATTTTAAGTTCAGGAGACCTCTCGACAAGAAGCAGAAGTCCGTGTGGAGACTTGAACCTAATGGAACAGGCTACCCCAAATGAGTGCTTTAAGCCCAGCAATTAATTATTGGATGAGGCTCAATGTGTGCAGAGATTTCACATACATATGTAAACTCCATGTGCTGCATCATTTAATCGTTTCTATGTCATGTCCTTTTTAAGAAAAGGAAGTGCCCAACAAGCCTGTACGTCTGCGCGTCCGAGCCTCAGACGACAGGCTGTCCGTTGCATGGAAGGCGCCACGCCTGTCTGGAGCCAAGAGTCCACGCAGATCTCGAGGTTTTCTTCTGGGCTATGGGGAAAGTGGCCGGAAGATGAATTATGTCCCACTGACCAGAGATGAGAGGTCACATGAAATTAAAAAGCTCGGTGAGTTTGAAATTCCAGTACGTCTATCACTTCAGTATTCATAAGCTCGTTCAAGACAGAACACTGTCTTAGCTGGGTACGTCTTCCGCCATGATGATTATCTGAGGTTGCTTTGCCCCCTGCTGTGACAAGATAGGGTTCTTTTGGTTCACAGCTGAGGGGATGGACCCCCACACAGAGGAAAAGTCATGGAGGCAGGTGGCTGTCTGGGTACAGGAGTGTGCAGCGGGGACTTCTCAAATCTTGGCAGAACAAGAAGCAGAGTGAACAGGAAGCAGGGGCCAGCTACAAAACTTACAGGGCTTGCCTCTGGTAACACACTTCCTCCAGCAAGCCTCACCCTGTGAAGGGTCTGCCACCTCCTGAGACAGTGCCACCAGCTTGCGGCCAAGTGCTGAAACTCATAAGCCCATGGGGACAGTTCCCACTCAAACCACAACACCTCTTTGTCCCGTCCTGCCGTGTCCTCTGTCATATTAGCCTTTACTCAGTGGCAGGGCTGCCCTTCTCCTCAGTTGTTTCTACACACAGATGCCTTGAGCCAGGGCACTTGGCTAGTGGTGAAGAGTGGTGGGGAGGGAAAATGCGGTCCTGTTCTCATTACTTTGTTCTTTGCAGCTTCTTCTTCAAATCCCAAGACCCTGAACCCTGAGTCCCATTGAGATTGGGCCCTAGGACAGCCGAGTGAAGCCTGCCAGGAGTGCTGGTGGGCACATTTGCTGGGATCAGAGGACACTGGGTGGTCCATCTTAATAGGTCAGAACCTTTGCTAGCAAGCTAGACAGGGGCACAAGCGATGTTCTGAGAAGATGCTGTAGCCCCTGCGGATGCTGCACCTGGAGGAAGGACCAACGGCCCCGTCACTGTTGTCCTTGGCCCTGCCCTCTTGTCATTCTGGACTCCTTTACACTCTCTTCCCAGGGAAGCCAAGATACAGAGACTCGAGGGTGCAGGGCAGCCCTGGCAGCACAACCGTCTTGTGCTAGAACTCACGGTGGAAAGCCCCTTGGCTCGTGGGCATAATGTGTAGTCTTCCCACCAGCCACTTGGGTCCCGCTGCTGTCTCAGCCCCCAAATAACACACAGGACGCTATATTAGTTATAAGCTGTTGGCCGCTTTATTGGTTTCTTACTGGCTAGCTCTGACTTAAGTATTTAACCCATAATTGCTAATCTAAGTATTTCCGGAGGAAGGGTCCGGGCATGTTACTTCTCCAGCATCCTACATCATGACTGACTATGCCTCTCTTTCCCAGAATCCTCCTCGACTCCTAGTCCCACCTATCTTGTTTCCTTATTGGCCAACAGTGCTTTATTGACACATACACAGAAGGATTTCCCCCATCACATGCTCTCCCATTTGCTCTTTTACCGGTGATAAGTATTTTAGCCCCCATGGTTCATGCTTCTTTTATTTCTCAAGGGGCCAAGGCCAAGCAAGGGAGAGGCTATGGCTTCCTGGGCCCACTCAGAAGATTCTAGAAAAACATCTGATCTCTTCACTCAAGTGTAGTCAGGCAGCTCTCAGGCTCTCACAAACTTGATGGTGTAGACAGTGGAGATGAAGGCTCACGTCACTCAGGGGTGTGCAGGCTGGAGGTGGAGGGTGGCAGCGTAGGGAACAGAGACTGGGGTGGAAGGAGGAAAAGAGGCACCCACAGGCCTGTGGGGTGCAAGAGGGTAACTCGGGGAAGGGGGTACAGCGCATCTTGCTCGGCACCTCCATCATAAGGATGAGTTCTTCTCCAAGACAGGTGAGGAGCATGCAGATGACAGGAAGAGGGAGTGAAGTCAGGATATGTAGGAAACAGACAGACAGAGAGAGACAGAGAGACAGAGAGAGATAGAGAGAGAGAGACAGAGAGAGAGAGACAGAGAGAGAGACTCACAGCCAAGCCGTGGTGCACAATGATCTGAGCTCAGGTGAGAGCAGCTTCCTGGGCACAGAGTTCTGGCCTGGTTTGCTCTGAGGGCTCATCTGCTAAGGGCATAAGTATAGATCCTTAGGTAGCCTAGGCAGACAGTCTGCTAGTATCCAGGACTCCCAGTCCTGGCTCCCTGGACCATGCTGCAGTGTGAGCAGCTCAGATTTGAACTCAGGAAGACCCTGGGCAGATGGCTATGCATCTCTTTCTGAAGCATCCCAGAAATCTGTTTTATCAGATGCTATGCTCAGCCTCCTGCTGGACACTGCGGGAGAGTGTCTGTCAGGCCTCTTGGGTGCTTCCAGCATGAGACAACTGTGTGGTATTCTTTGTGTCCACATGGTTCCCACAAGGAGGCACAAGTCCTTCTGAGCCACACAGAACCCCTGAGCCATCTAAAGACACCGACTGGCTCTCTTCACCAATGCTCCAAGAAATGTGGAGAGAGCCAAGGTAGCAGGAGAATCCAGGCTGGTTGTGCTCTGTGAAGAGACACTCTGCACGTCTAATACTGTGGGAGAGTGCTGTTCCCGTGGAGCGCTTCCCATGAACGCTCGCCTCACTCCCATCAGACACTCAAACGTGATTTGGCATCGCCCTGTCCTTCACGGCTGGTCCTGCCAGTTTTTCGTCTTGGCAGTCATACACCCCTGCTCACCTGAAGATGATGAGAGCTTGCTCTTTTGCTGCCTCAGCTCGAGCAGATCTGGACCTAAGGTTCACGCGAGCTCTAAGCCCAGTGTAATCTCACAGGGTCGGCCCCTCTAAGGGTTCTACAATGTGTTGGCTTTTGAGTCATCATCCCATCAACAGATTGGACTTCTCCTGGTGGGTTTGTGTGAAGAGAAGGCCTTACCAGAAGCTTGCTTCAGGGCAGGGTGGGGTGAGGGAGAGGTGAATTCTCCAGGGTCTGCTGTGCCCGACTTCGTGATCGATTCCGAGAAACACTTTGACACTGTTCGCCCCAGAGATGCCACCGGCCAGGGGCCATTACAGGAAGTGGACACGCACGGGGGAACCTTGGAGACTGGACTGAAGTCTTGTCAGCGGTGCATCTCACCCCTAGACAACCTAAACACATTTTATGGGTGGTCTTCTGTGTCAGTGAAATCCCTGGGAGACGTAGCAATGCCGAAGCGATAGTCAAAGGAGGCGCCACATGGAAGGGGATGGAGCAGGCCCTGCAGGCAGAGGGCCTCAGGACCACAGAAGGGAGAGGACGGCAGCATCTGGCCCCAGCCGTGGTGAATGATGGAGGACACGCAAGTTTGAAGACCTTCAGGAAAATGCCAGACGGGAGACTTGGGAAGTGAAGCACGATAGTTTGCTCTCATGCAACAGAGGCTGAGAAATGAGCCAGCCAAGGATTGCACTGATGGGGTGTATGTGGGGTTCCCCTGGGGTCTTTGGGTGGTGATGTTGGTGTCAGTTTGGAGGTTGTATTTCCACCCAGTATTCAATAACCAAGGCACAGAGAGAAGTGTGCTTCTAGTGTTGGGTACTTTCTGCTGTATCTCTGTGACAGCTGCCTCGGGCCTGCTCCTACCTCATCTGAAGCTGATAAGAACCAGGGCCCCAAAATCGTGTAGAACCTGTTAGAAGGCCCAACTACTCTATGACGTTGGCAGTCACCTTACCCCTCTGATCCTATCCTGTCCTGTGAAGTAAGGACAGTGATAGGGGCTTCTTTGCAGGGAATAATAAGGACTAAATGAAGACTGACATATGAAATGTTTAGCATGTTGTGGTAGGGGCCGGTGAGGGGAGGGCCTAGAAGCTGTTAGGGCAGATAGGTTCCTGAGGAATGAGGGCACTGTCCCATGTCCTGCTCTTTGGTCCACAGCCTCTGAGTCGGTGTATGTGGTCTCCCTGCAGTCCACCAACTCCCAGGGGCAGAGTCAGCCAGTCTATAGGGCTGCCCTCACAAAACGCAAGAATTCAGGTATGTTTCCAAGGATGCAATTGGTGAAACCATGGTCGGGTGTGAATGCTGCTTTCTACGTGATGCTGGCTGTGGTGGGATGATGAGCTGGTGGGTCTCACAGGGAATGAAGAAGGGACCTGTAGGGCAGACTGCCAGAGGAATGAACACGTTTCCTTCATGCGTAGAGACAGGAGAATTCTTTTGGTAACGTCTGCTTCACTGAGGAGTATGGATAACTTCCTAGCACAGTTGCTTTGCAGTGCTAGAGGGAGTGAGACATCACTTCATGGAAAGACACAGCTTAGTCCCTCTGTTAACTGTCCCTAGTGAGACCCTGAACCAAGCAAGAGAGAGGGCTGGCCTGCTGGTGCAGCGTGGAGACACACAGGCCATCGTAGCTCACTGTATGCAGAAGCCATGGCATGGAGAGTATCTGGAAATACACAGTTGGGGTTCCCTGATAGCCCAAGCGTTGTGCACTTATTGAAGTACATTTTTCCTCACATCCATTGATGAGTATTTGTTACATCACTAATAATATCAACAAATTACGCTCAAACCTTCTCTGGCCATGAACCTCAATTTAAGGTGTTCTCATCCCTTTCTGTTGCTGGGATAAACACCATGACCAGAAGCAGCTCAGGAGAGGAAAGGGTTAACATCATATTGCCCTTTTGGTGACAGTCAATCATTGAGGGAAGTCAGGGCAGACAGTGACACAGGAACTGAAGCAGAAGCTGTGGAGGAATGCTGGTTCTGGTCCCCCACTGGCCCACACCCAGCTAGCTTTCTTACACAGCATAGGTCCACCTCCCTGGGGGTGGATCCCAGCTGGTCCTCCAACATCAGTCATCAGTCAAGATAATCTCTTATCGACATGGCCACACACCAGTCTGATCAGGGCAGTTCTTTAGTGAGGCTCTCTCTTCCAGATGACGCTAGGTTGTGTCAGGTTGACAAAAACTAAGCAGGAAAGGGAAAACCCTGGCACAGTCCCTTAGTGGGGTGACGGTGTAAAATGAAACTACTATGCCTTCACATGGTGCATAGAGTTGTCCCATGTAAACCCTGATTCATTTGTATCATTCCCTGATTACCATCACAGGGGACAGACACATTTTCTAACAGTCCATTCCAACTCGCCCCACTTAGGTAAAATCTGTATTCTTTTGAAAAAAAAAAGACCCATATAAAGAAAACCAAAACAAAAGAGAGTTACAAGCAAAGTTGAAGACACCTTGGGAATCTTCATTAGTTAGAGACTGAACTAAGACAGTGAACTTTGTGGCTATAGTTTTGGTGACAAAAATAAGTCCCAGTAAGAAATTGGCAAATGCACCTCTACCTTATATCTGAATATAACATTTAATCTGCCTTGCAACCACATAACCTAAAATGCGAAGAACATGGACTCCCGTGAGATTCATAACCCCGTTTAAAGCAGAAGTTTTACTTCACATCACGGTCTCTAAGGAATAACAAAGGGAACTCCTCCTGCCCCACATGCATGCGCTCATGCAGGTTTTGTTGTTTCTGAGAAATTTACAGCGCGTAACAAGCAAGCACTGAGCTCCCTGCAGGGTTTTCTACCAAGGGGTAGCAGCCCCTTTACCTCTTCTGCATGCTGATTGGTTCGGCAGCTTTTGTAGCGAACCACTTCTGCATGCTGATTGGTTCGGCAGCTTTTGTAGCGAACTACTTGCTTCCCAGACAATGGCTAAGAAAAGAAAGAGTAGAGACATTTCCCCGCTGTCTTAGTTAAGGGTTCTAATGCTGTGGAGAGACACCATGACCACAGCAACTCTTATAAAGGAAAACATTTAACTGGGGTGGTGACTTACAGTTCAGAGTCTCGGACCATTATCATCATGGCGTGACACTGGAGAAGTAGCTGAGAGCCCCACATCTTTCCGTCAACAGGAAGGAGACTGTGTGAGTGTCATGAATGAGAGAAACTTGTGCAAAAGAGATCTCAAAGCCCGCCCCCACAGTGGCACGCTTCCCCCAACAAGGCCACACCTACTTCAGCAAGGCCACACCTCCTAATAGTGCCACTCCCTTTGTGGGCCGTTTTCTTTCAAACCATCGCATCCCCTCTATATAGACAAAACAATCACGTAACCTGTTCATCTCATTTTACCTAAATGAAGCTCCAGCAACTAAAAGTTAGGCTGGGCTTGGCCGGAAGAAGTCAGTGTGGAGCCGATGGTGAGAGGAGACGTTTTGTGTGCCCACTGTCATTTCAGAAGACAGTGAGCTGGACCTACCTGAAGATATCAGTGTCCGGGTCATCTCATCCCAGTCTGTGCTCGTGGCCTGGGTGGATCCTCTCGTGGAAAAGCAGAAGAGAGTTGCCGCATCCAGGTACACAGGCTTGCTTCGTGTGTTTATGTACGCGAAATACGGCTTCTCTGGCCTTTGAATGAATTCAGTAGTTTTCTTTGTTTAGCTCTGTGAAGATGTATTTATTTCCACTTTTTTTACACGAATGTTTTGCTAGCATGTATGTATGTGTGCCATGTTCATGGTTGCTGCCCACAGAGGAGGAAGAGGGCATCAAATATTCTGGAGCTGGTGTTAGAGATGAAGGTGCTGAGAGCCAAACCCGGGTCCTGCGGAAGAGCCCGGTGCTCTTAACCTCCGAGGCACCTCTCCTGCCCGATTTTATTGTCTTTCCCCTGTGGGGGATGACCCCTCTTTTGCTGCTGAATGGTCTAGTACTCTGTGGCAATCCATTTCCTGCAAGCCAAGCAGGGCCTGGGTGTGTGATTCACAGGACAGAATTCACATTTCACTGGCTCCATTGTGTCTCATGTGTGGAATTCTCCTATGTTTGTTGTTGCTCTGCCTCAGTTTCCCTCTGTGCAGTATTCACTGTGAGAGGAGTTTTCTTGGAGAAAAGGCGGGACAGGTTTTTATGTAGAGTGGTGGATGTTTGTCTAATGCTAACACGTGACTCCTCAGTAGACATTCGCTGATCTCCGAAGTGTGTCAAGTCCTGCTTGTTGCGTGTAACCAAGAGATCATTTTCTCTTAGCTTGTGATGTTGTGCTGCTCTGTCTTTCATCCACATCTGTAGTAGCAACAGACAAAGACAATTTATCAAGTTAGAATAATCTTTATGCCAGCTCTATGGTTTGCCACATTGCAGAGAAACCCCCTGAATATGGGTAAAAGTTTTTTTTCTGTGTTCCAAGACTTGATAGTTTATACAACCAAGAAGAAGCCAAAGATTCATGGCCTGGTTATTACATACTGAGTTTTGAACCTATCTACAGCAGAAAAGTGGGACATACTTTGAAATAAAAGAAACATAATGCTCAGATTGTGTGTATACACTGTGATCCATAGTAGGCACAGTGCAGCCTTGAGTGTCTGCTGGTAGAATGACACGTTTCTACTGAGGGACTCAGAAGAGCCACTGTGTTTCTCTGTCCATGTACTCCCCACAACAGGAAGTGCTCAGGATTGCTTCTGGGCTGTAGTTCCTAACATCTTGCTGAAAACCAGAGGAAGCGAGGCTCTCCTTAGCAAGGCGACTTTGCTAATTGCTGCACCATGTCTGCAGCTGGTGCCTTCTCTTGCCTTCTATATATAATCAATAACACGTGCGTGTGTATGTGTGTGTGTGTGTGTATGTGTGCGCACATCTACATATGCATGCAGAAGCCAGAGGTCAGCCTTAGGTGTCGTTCCTCAGGTGTCCTTTGTCTTCTTTTTGCTTATGGTCTTGAGGGAGGGCCTATCACTGGCATGAAGCTTGCCAAGTGGGCTAGGCTGGCTGGTCAGCAAGCCCCTGGGGCTCTCCCTGTCTCTGCCTCCCAACAACTGGAGTTGCCAGCATGTACCCCACATCTGGCCTTTTTTAACATGGCGTTTGTGACTCAGACTCTGGTCTTGCACTTGCCTTGCAAGCACTTCACCAACTGAGCTCTCTCTCCTGATCCCTCAATAGACAAACACTCTTAGTGCCTCAAAGGCTTTCTACTGGGAAGAAGCCATGGAGAAAAGCTCCATTAGAAGAGGTCCAGTCTTCAGGGCGTGCTGCCCCCAGAGTGTCATGGATGTCTGCTGTCTGGGGTTTTTGAGAATCAGTACATTTGATATGTCTCCCCATGCAGATCATACCCGACCTCTCCAAGATCATACACACCTCTCTAAGATCATACACACCTCTCAAAGACCATACACACCTCTCTAAGACCATACACTCCTCTCTAAGATCATACACTCCTCTCTAAGATCATACACACCTCTCTAAGATCATGCATACCTCTCTAAGATCATGCACTCCTCTCTAAGATCATACACACCTCTCTAAGATCATACACACCTCTCTAAGATCATACACACCTCTCTAAGATCATGCACTCCTCTCTAAGATCATACATACCACTCTAAGATCATATGCACCTCTCTAAGATCATGCACTCCTCTCTAAGATCATACACACCTCTCTAAGCCACTGTGTCCTGCTCTGTTACAGATTTTTGTTCCATTTCACAGCAGCAAGTCTATCAAGACCACATGCTCCCTGTTCTCCTGAGTCTGTAGAACATGTACAACTGAGCATGAAATGAGGTTTCTTGTGCTCATGCATGTGTGTGTGTGTGCGTGTGCGTGCTACCTGGAGTTAGTTCCGGCTCTTGGGGTTCTCACGTGTCCCACCCTTCAGTGGACGAGCACACACATCACCGAGAAATTAGTTGCTCATAAATTCCGCCTGCCTCCCTTTATCCCTTCCTTTTGTCTTCCCTGTTTGATCTTTGGAATAATGGGACATTTTTAGTCTTGGACAACAGTACACTGTATTTCTTAGTCTGCTTCAGGGACCTCATCTACAGTTGAAAGTTTAGATTTTTCTCCTCATATCTCCCTGCTTACTCCCAAAAGTCACTGGGGAGAAACAAACAGGAAAGAGGCTGGAAATCAGCTTCAAAGACTGGGCCCCAGCCTGAGGGTTATGTTCTTGTCTCGTAGACAGTACACTGTACGCTACCGAGAGAAGGGGGAGTCGGCCAGGTGGGATTACAAGCAAGTGTCTAACAGGCGTGCACTGGTGGACAGCCTGCTCCCAGACACTGTGTATGAGTTCGCAGTCCGGATTTCACAAGGCGAACGAGACGGCAAGTGGAGTGCATCCATCTTCCAGAGAACGCCGGAATCTGGTTTGTATCTGAAATGGCCTTGGTGTTTCAACTGAGGGCCACTCCTGAACTGAGACCTAGTGCAGTTCCAGAAGTCAGTGGTGACACAGGGAGACACTGCAGTTTTTAAACCTCACTAACTGTAAATCTTCCTAGTAGAGTTTGTATGTATAGTTAGAATTAGAGTTAAGAGTGTTTGGGTTTAGAACTATTGAGAGGAGGGGATGGAGAGAGAGAGAGAGAGAGAGAGAGAGAGATGAAAGACGTTGAGGAGCATCTTTGTTGGGTCCATGCTTTATACTCTGATAGCGGATTTCCACCAACATGTTCTTCTGGCGTGTTGAAACTACCAAGCTCCAGTGTATAGCTTATGTAAGTTGCTATTGTGGCCATAGATGTCCCTGGGTGGCATAGCTTTTGCTGTATGATCTTCCTGAGGCTGGGGTTATATTTGAGTTTGGGGAAAAATCTTTTCTATAACCAAGGCTATAATTCAACAACAGCCAGAACTACATGTTTAAAGGTTGTACTAGGCTGGATACGGTGGCATGAATTTTATCCTAGCACTTGGGTCGCAGAAGCAGGTAGCTCTATGTGAATCCAAGGCTAGTCTTGTCTACATAACAAGTTCCAGGTCAGCCAGGGCAGCATAATGAGAGTCCCTGTCAGAAAAAAACAAAAGTTGTACCAAAAGGATGTTGCAGATTTTGAACTTATAATGCTGTAATACTGATCCAAAAGAGAAAACTGGAATTCCTAAAAGCCTGTTTCTAGATGTCTCTAAACTCACTGCTTGAGTTTGTGGAAAGTGACATTAAGTCACTTTACAAGAAGGAGTGTAGAATCATCTCTTGCGTGCCATCAGTGGGAACACACCATCTCTTCAGTGACTAGCTTGTGAGGGGCCTGTCGCTACTTCCATTCAGGAGGTGCACGAGGGCCTTGTGAAATGCCCGATTCCCTGTCATCTTCTTCTAGCTCCCACCATAGCGCCTGAGAACCTGAAGGTCTGGCCAGTCAGCGGCAAGCCCACAGCTGTCACTGTGTCCTGGGACGCACTGCCAGAGACTGAGGGGAGAGTGAAAGGTAGGTGTCCCCTCCTTGCTCTCTGAGAGGCTTTTATGAGCAATGCTCCTTTAGGTGCTAACCAGGGGTACCCGGAGGCATCGTGCAGGGGTACGTCATCACCTGCCAGTTAGTCCTCTCATCTTCCTGTAGGCAGGCACTTCAGGATAGCCACCCTGGAGACGTTTTTTGGCTGCACTGAGTGCTATCATAACCTTTACACCCCATACTAAATCTAGAGTTTTCCATCGTGCCTGAGAGACCCTGAAAGGAGAAGCCGGCAGGGATCTGCTGGAACCATAAAGATCTTTAGCGAGATCGTAAATAGTTTTAATGGGGCTGAAAACCTTAAGTCATGACTTCCAGAAAGTGGATTTGTTCCCTAAATTTCAGTCTATATTGATTTATTTGGGTCAAGGAAAGGATAAAAAAATAGAGAAAAAGATTATCAGCGTTTTAAAAGAATAAAAATAAAATGAGATGTGTACAGCTAGTGAAGTTATAAAATAGTCTGTTGGGACTGTTAAGAAAACAGAGCTTTTCATTTCAGTGTAAAAGTTTCAGAAATCTGGAGATATTTTAAAGACTCACATTGGATTATGCCTGACTTTACTGATGAGTATAGCCTCATGGTAGGGAAGAAGGAATCTTTATTTAGTGAAAGGAATCCTTTTTATCGTTACTAGGTGGCTTAGTTAGGGTCTCGGATGCTGTGAAGAGACATCAAGACCTCTTATAAAGGAAGCATTTATTTGGGGCTGGCTTACAGTTTCAGAGGTTCAGTCCATTATCTTCATGGTGGGACAGAGAGGCAGACAGGGAGCTGAGAGTTCTACAGCTTGGGCGGGCAACAGGAAGTGAACTGAGACACCGGACGATATCTTGGGTATAGAAGATCTCAAAGCCTGCCACCATAGTGACTCACTTCTTCCAACAAGGCCACGCCTACTCCCAGAAAGCCACACCTCCTAATAGAACCACTCCCTATGACATTATGGGAGTCAATTACATTCAAACTACCACATTAGATTTGGGAGAGGCAAATTTAATTCTGAAACATCCAAAAGCTCTGAGCAGTTTGTTTAGGCTTAGAGAAACACAGAAAACCATGACTGGTTTCCTTTGAGAATTTCCTGATGGAAACTATTGAATGGTTCTTTTTTTTTTTTTTTCCCCATCCAACCGTACGATGACTTGGCTCACAAGAAGTGTGCCTTTTCATAGGACAATGGGGCTCCAGGAAGACAGCGAGCATGACATTTTCTATACTTATCTCCTTTTCACCTTTCAGAAAGAATAGATTTTTATTCTTTTAACTTGTCCCCATCCCACACAGGAACAAATGAAGAGAACATATATTTAACTGGTTCCTTTAAGTGGTGATTTTTGCTTACTGTGTATAAGGACTGTGATGCCAGACAGGCCTCTCAAAGGAAGTCAAGACAACTTTTCGGCTGACTAGATGTTTAGTTTTTGACAACAGCAGTTACTGGCCATCTAGTGGATTTATTTTCAGAACACTCATTCTTTCTCTCATGTCTTAGAGTGTATCACAACTAATCGTGAGGGAAGCCACCTGTCACCAGCCAAATCTTGGAAAAAAATAGCTACTGAGTTCTTGAAGAAGCAAGATTTGTGTTTCTTAACCCTGGTTTAGTTTCCCTGTGGGTATAATTGTGAGATTAAAATTCATAGTTAATTGGGGGACATTTTCTGTGTCTGGGAAACATAAAATATAGTAAGACAGTAACATTCTGACATGGTTAAGCATTTTCTAAATGTACTTAATCCACCAAGGAATCATAATTGTAATGTTTTGTAGCATGGGGACTATCTTATATCTCACTCTTTGTCACTACAAATGACTAGTTCTATGAGAAAAGAATGCTGTTTGCCCAACAGACAGTGCAAAGACATTTCTAGTTGAAAGATTTAGTGTACTTTTAAAAGCTCAGACTTTAGAAAAAAGTGAAGATTCCTCCATACTCGAGCAATTGTTTTATTTTCCTGTGATTCCCATGATTTTTCTGAGGCTATTCTCTTGTTAGCTTGGTAAGTTATTTGAATTTTAAATCATTGAGAGAATAGGCAAGGACAATTCTTTGTTGAACATTAAAATCATACTGTGAAATATGCCTTTGCCTTTATTGTTGCATATATGCGTGTACATATTTCTAAATATATAGATACAAACTTCTCAGCCTATCAAATGTTATATGCATGTACATGATTTCATGGCTGGCTTGGGAAGGGCAGGAGGGGGGAGAGGGAAAATGATGCAATATTTTTAAATTTCAAAGATATAAAATAAAGAACAAGTTTAAAAATATAGATATAAGCAAATTCACTTGTAATAAAAGAAACAGTTCCTTATACAGGACTGTCCATGGGTTTCAAACTCCAAGAGCATTCTGTGCTTATAGACAAGCCAATAAAAGTGGAAACATTAGGGACCACACTCTATGAGTGATGATTCTTCACAGGTTTAAATACTATGAAATAATCTCAGCCACATACAGTTAATAAGAACTTTTGTAATTCTTACAAGAAGGAAGCTTTATGCCAAATATGGAATTCTTTTCTGAGTTAATGTACTCAAAGCCACTCCACTTGGTAAATGAAATTTGATGTGAGTAGTTACTCAGAATCAGTTTCTGGGAGTTGACACTTTTGGGGCCCCTTGGTTTCTTACATTGGAGTATGATAATGCCACTATAGAAAGTTTGTAAATAGACAGAACCCTCTAAACTAGTGTGTGTGTGTGTGTGTCTGTGTGATCAAGTGTAACTGCCCCCTCCCCGTGTGCTTCCTTAAATAGCAAGTTGCCTGCTTGTAATCCCCGAGGGCTCTAACGAGTGTGAACTTCCCTTGCGTCCCATTCTGCTGCTGCATCTGTTGACCAGGTGTGCAACGCCAAGGTGTTAGCGTCAACAATGTGTGTTCTAATCCATTCTGCCCACACAGTCTGTCTGCCGAATACAGGACTGTTTTCATTTTCTTCCTTCCAACCGTCTGCCAAATCATTTCAGAATACATTCTCTCATATGCCCCGGCTCTCAAGCCATTTGGAGCAAAGTCCCTCACCTTCTCTGGACACACTACTTCTGCCATGGTGGATGGTCTGCAGCCTGGGGAACGCTATCTGTTCAAAATCCGGGCCACAAACCGGAGAGGCCAGGGGCCCCACTCCAAAGCCTTCATTGTCACTGTGCCAACAAGTAAGCATCCTGTGTTTGTGCTCTTCCTCTCTCTCTCCTTTCACCCCTGCCATTTGTTTTGTGTTCTCTGAATCATGCTTTTGGGTTTAAGAGATGCTCTGCGGATGATTTTTCTGGGTTGTCTGTCTGCAGAGCTGTTTCTAAAATATTTTGTAGTCCCCTTTGAAGTCGATCTTTCCAAAGGCTAAAATGTTACTACTGATACTAATCATTTGTTTGCAGTATTATCAATATATTAATCATATGATTACTTTAGTATTAGTGTCTCATTCGGGGCTTGTATTGGGAGGGAAGGAACGTGTTTGTAAGCTTAACCTGGCATTTTGTTAGCCTCCTGCTGAAAGGACTAGAGGGTTCGCTTTGTCCTCTATTTTGTGGTGCAGCATTTCTCAGAAGACTTTCAATAGTCTGGCTTGTCTGATCAGCATTAAAACCAACAAGTCCACAAAGATCCAGAGGTGGGGTGGACTGTTTGTGGATCAGGCTTCCTGTGTTGCTCCTTGATCTTTGTTCTGGACATGCATAGCTTTCTCCACTGTGTGCTGAGAAGACCCACAGTTTCATGCTGGGAGACACTGAAAAAATGTTTGTCCCCTCTAGGTCCCCCTGTTGCTGTATAATTCCTTTCCAATACAACCTTCCCTTCCCTCAGTCAGCTCTCCCGTCAACACAGAATGAATCATAGGACATGTTTAAGATACTGTTTTGCCTCATAAGTTTAAGCCTTATTTGGGGGATACAACGTCACCTGTTATGAGAGAAACTTTAAGTCAGAGAGAGGGAGCAAGGGAAAGTGTGCGGAGGGGAAGCGGGGGTCCCTTGTGGTGCTTCGGGGTGTAAAGCCTGGTATTCACACCGGTTACTAGCAAGTTCCGTATATCTTTCCACTGTAGCGCTGAACGTAGGTCACGTGACCTTAATTAAGAACAGCCGTGCTACATTGGTAACACACTGATGATTAGCTTAAGAAAGTCCTGCTTAAGATCTGGCACTCACAAAAACCAGTGACTCATAGTTATCCCCCAGTATTTTGGGGGTGGGTTCCCACACCCCAATGCTACCAACTCTGCAGACATTTAAGTCCTTTTTCTGAAGTAGAAGTGTTTGCACAGAACCTGCACACACATTTCCCCCTCTCTTACACAATATAGGGAAATGCTGTGTGAACACACGTTATTTAGGGGGAGATGACTCTATACATGATGAGTACAGACACATTTTTCCCCCTCAAACATTTTTGAGGTAAGATTGGCCGAATCTGGGGCTGCAGAGGGCTGACTGTATATGTAAGCACTCATTTCATTCTAGAATTTCTTCAAATGATAAATTGTGGCACGTCCTGATTCAGTCCACACCTAGGTTCTAGAACTCTGCTGTGTAAAGTAAAATAGAACAGCAACAAAAAGAATGTGATAGCTGGGGATGGGCATGTTTTCGTGTTCTAAGGGATTAGAAGTGGTCAGTTGCAGTGAGACGTTTGGAACTCTTACACACAGGATGGTGGTGACTCCTAACCCTCCTCTGACACCCACCTTTAAAAATCTGTTCCAGCCGGTTCCACGGAGGCCAAGGCACACCAGGATGGGGGAAACAGCTGGAAACCTGAGAGACCTCAGCCTTCTTCCCTGGCTCCCAAAGCCACTACTTCTTCAGAACACACCTCCCCAGCCAAAAATGCCAAGGATGTCCTCCTTGACTTAAAGAACAAAATCCTGGCTAATGGCGGGCCGCCCAGGAAACCCCAGCTTCACTCTAAAATGGGAGCGCTGGATCCCCAGGAAGTCACTGGTGAAGAGGAACTGGACTCCCTTGAAGATCCTCGTCCGCCACGATCGGAGACCCTAGACCAGAGGCGACCGCTGAGGATACCGAGTAGATCTGGTCATTGGGTTCCAGCTCCTGGCAGGACTCCAGCAAGGGCTGGCCTGCCAGTGCTGCCCCGCAAGGAAGGGATGGATAGGCGGGGTCCCTCCATGGCTCCCCACCCTCGTCCAGGGGCTGAGCCTTCAGTGACGGCCTCTTCTACGCCTCCCATCACAGACAATGATTCTGTGAACCAAAATGAAGATGATCAAGGAGGCTCGCCTGATGCTACAGCTGCTTCTTCCCAGTCACCTAATAATCCAGTCGGGTCCAAACCCACCCCGACCCCTAGCCGCCATGTGGCTTCCAACATGCTCAGGGACAAAAGTCGCCTGCTCCCAGGTGCAAAAGCTGAGTCATCGGCTTCTCGGAATTCCCATTCCTCAACCAGCGAGGAGGACTCCAGTGCCGCAGCCCCGCCCTCAGGGCATTTCCCCCTGCACAGAGGGTCCTCCCGACCACACTCCAGATCCCAGCTTTCTAGGGGCTGGAAGGACCGCCAGGGCGTCCCTGCCTCTGGTTCCCACATGCTTTCCCGGACGACCGTGTCACCCACTGTCTCTTCTCACCCCCTTTCCCTGACAGGAGGCTTGGAGGAGGAGGGCACTTCTGATGGTGGGGGAGTTGGTGACAGAGACGCAGGAGACACCAGAAGGCAGGCTGAGGCCACCGCTCACACCCAACAGACCCGGCCTGCCTTGGGACACTTCAGCTTGACACGGAATAAGCCCTTCGCTACCCACAGCAGAACTCCAAACAGATCCCCCAGGGTCCGGGGACTGAGGCCGCAGCCCTCTGTGTCTCCTCAGGCTACTTCAGCTTCGAAAGTCCTCAGCAGGACTCCTTCCCAGACGGCGTCCCACGCCAGGCCTGGCTCCGATGTCTACGGAGATGGCGAGGATGAAGAGCCTCTTCCAGCCACTGTGGTCACCGATCCTACACCTTCCTCCTCCAGGCACCCAGCCTCTGGGGGCTGGGACACCCTGAGAAGAGGCCCCCAGAGAGGAGCCAGCTTGTATAGGAAGGAGCCCATTCCAGAAAACCCCAAGACTGCTGGAGCAGATGTACATCCTGGGCGCAAATCCCCTGTGTCCTCCAAGACACAGGACTTGCAGCAGAGTACCCACGAGGATGCTCACCGAACATCCCCAGGGTCCTCCAGCCGCCAGTTGTCCCCTGCTCGGCTTCCAGCATCGAGATCGCAGGCCTTCCCTGGGTCCACTGTCCCCAGAAGACTGGCACCTGGCCGCAGCTCAGAGGTTTCTAGTTCTCAGAGTACCGACAATGACAGGTCACTTTCCCAACCCAAGCTGTTGCTTGATCGCACAGGGCATGGCCGCTCACACACACTCAACTCCCGTGGGATGCTCCCCTCGGCTTCCCAGAGTCAGGATGAGGATTCCCAGAGCAGCTATGAAGACAACAGCTCTGAAATGGAGGCCCCGGATTCCCGGGCTCTCACCCACTCAGCTCGTGCCAAGGACGCCACTCTTTCCGCTTTCAGATTTCGGCAGGCGGGCTCCCAGCTGGGGAACGGTGATAACAACCCTCAGCCCAGCCACGTGAGACCCAGGGGGCCTGGCAGCCCCTATCACCAGGCTCAGGTTTCCAGCAGGGCTGGGGTCCAGACCACACCAGTGAAGAAGATCTCGCCTTCCAAGCTACCACCTGAATCTCAGCAGTCAGTCTTCACTGAGGAGGATGAAGAGGAAGAGGAAAAGGAAGGAATTGTAAAAGGCAAGGAAGACTCTCTGACTACCTCAATTTCAAAGTGGCCTCCTTCCTCCCCCCACAGGAATAACAAATATGCAGACAGAAACTTTGACAAGGACAGGGCTGCCGCTGGGCTGGCTCCCCAAGGAGGGAGCCTTGTGCAGGAAGAGAACACCGGAAGGCGACTCCCAGGCAGTCCTCCAGTGGCCTCGCACCCACCTCTCCGGTACCAGCCTCGAACCCCTGCCACTGCAAGTCCCACCACCGGCACCCACTCCTGGCCAAGGTATACCACCCGCGCCCCTCCCAGCTACTCCTCCACCACGCCCATGCTTTCCTTGCGCCAACGGATGCAGCGGAGATTCCGGACCCCGGTCTCGCGCCAGCCCCCCTCGAGACCCGTGCTCGCACAAGGTAACTTGTGACACGCTGTAGCCACCGAACCTTTTCTGTTTCTTTCTAAAAAGTGCTTACTGGTTGAAAGTGGGGTTTTGTCTGTATGTTTTAGATCTATTTTGTATTACTAAGCATCCACAATAACCAAGCAGGCTCTCACGCCTCTGGTTGTGTGTTGGGAGCGGGGATTGGCTTGCACAGTGGCCTCAGCTTTTAGATGGGTTTGACCCTCAGAGGCCAGAGCTGCCGGCTTCAAGTCACATTGACTGGAGATGTCGGAGCTCCACTTGGGCTCCTAACATGAAGCCCAGTATCCTGTCACCCTCCAAACTGCCCCTTCATCTGTGAAGATGTGTCATAGCCAGATGTTATTTTCAGTTATTCACTTGGCAGAACATATTTAAGGAACCAACAAGTAATAAGATATGCATATATATATATGTACATACATGTGTGTATATATGTGTTTGTGTGTATGCATGTGCTTATATTCATGTATGTGTGTGTTTGTGTGTATGTGTTTATATGTGTGTATATGTGTGTTTGTGTGTATGTGTGTATATGTGTGTATTTGTATGTGTGTGTATATATGTATGTGTGTATTTGTGTGTGTGCATGTGTGTTTGTGTGTGTGTATATGCATGTATTTGTATGTGTGTGTATATATGTATGTGTGTATTTGTGTGTGTGTGTGTGTGTGTGTGTACTGGCTTGTCTTCTGCTTGTTTCATCCTTATCCTTTGCATATATAACTCAACCAAATAAACCCTAGCTCAATTGCAAACGTCTTATGTAGGAATTGCTTAGACATTTCTTTCACCAAGTGCTATCTACAACTTGCAGAAAGCACATGGTAAAATCATCATAGCCTGACATTGGGTCAGGCTGATATATGCCCTGAATTCTGTAACAGCCAATGAAAAGTAGACAGCTGTGAACTAGGGTCCACGTGAACCGGCAGAGCAGGGTCCGAGGCATTTACGATAGATTTGCATTCAGTTGAACTTGTACTTCCCTCACTGGGGTTTCTTAGACCATCTTCAGCAAATGTGTTAGAATCTGGTGGTATTATTTATTGATTCATGCTTGAGACAGTGCCTCACTCTGTAGTCCAGACTGGCCTGGCACTTACTGAATAGCTGCTGTTGCCTTCAAACTTACAGCATTTCTCTTGATTTAGCCCCCTGAGTGCTGAGCCTGCAGGCAAGAGTCACCATGCCCAGCAGCATGCTAATTTGCTTGGTGCATTGTCCCATGTGAGGATAGTTTTTCCTCTATGACTGTTTTAAGTGACAACCACACTGATAAGTGTAGAGTTTACTAATGCTTGTAATAGAACCCAATGTAATCGGACTTGCTTGCTATACAACGGAAGGCATGAACCAAGTCTGCCCAGCAGCGTTGTCAGAAGCCATGACACTTCTCCTGAAGTCAGGCTGGGCCACAGAGGCTCCCAGTTTAGAATAAAGGCCGCCTGTCCCCTAGAGCTGGTTGGAAGCAACTCAGTAAATATTTCTCAAGCTGTACTGTGGAGACCAGCATGCTGGGACAACGCCACATGACGACTGACACCTGGGACAGGAGTCAGCTGGAAATGGCTGTCCTGTTTGATGGCATTTAAAACTCTTTAGACATTATCTCCATTGTTCCAGTGCCTTCCGGTTCTTCCAGTGAAAATGAAACTAGAACTACTAAGGTACTTCTAAGACACATCCTCAGTCCCCAGCATTGCCAGACTGTCACTCGACATCTTAATAGCTAATACGCAGATGCTCTTGGTTGAAACACTTTTTGTATGTGTTGGAGACGACGTGTGTGCACTTACAGTTTGATGAAGTCAATGGTCTAGGATGGTTGAATTTACTAGGAACATCTTTTTTCTTTTCCCTGCTGTGTAGGCTATAATGGAAGACCAAATGTAGAAGAGAACATACCTCCTGGTAGTATTGGAAAACCGAATGGACAGAGAATTATAAATGGTCCTCAAGGAACAAAGTGGGTAAGGTAAACTTCTTTACACACACAAGGTGTTCTCATACTGTCAAGAAGAGAAAACCAAGGGTACTGTGTGCCAATAACCCAGCAGTCTGCCCCCCTCCCCTCCCTCCTCCCCTCATCTCTCTTCCTCTTCCCCTCCCCTTCTCCCCTTCTCCTCCCTTCCCCTCCCCTCCTCTTCCCTGCCCTCTCCTCCCTTCCCTTCCCTTGTCCTCCCCTACTCTCCCCTCTCTTACTCTTTTCTCTCCTCCCCTCTCCTTTTCCCTCTTCCCCTCCCCTCTTCTCCCCTTCCCTCTCCTTCTCCTCCTCTCCCATCCTTTCTCCTCTCTTCCTGATAAATTTTCAGTGTACTCAAGCTGCCCTCAATCTTGAGATCCTCCTGCTTCATAGCCTCTCTTGCTTTGGGGTTGAGGAGCCCCATCCTGTCTACCTAAGAATTTAACAGCCTAAGAAAGAGGAAAAGTCACACATTTCTACTCGGTAAACTTAGGATATGTCTCATGTTTAGCAAATATGACAGTCACTCCACAATAGAAACTTTCTCTTTTTTCTTTTTCATCTTTAGTTTTAACTACCTTAAATATAATCACTTTGAATTTCTAGAAAGTCTTCGGTGATCAGTGAGGCCTGGCTTGGAAAAACTCACTGGGTGGGGTTATCCATATTTTTTTTTTATTGTCAGGAAGACAGAAGAAATTCCTGGACCCACCACAGCAGTTACCTAGAGTCTAAGAATGGCCTTTCCTATGTTCCTCCCTGTATTTAATTTTTCACTTAGTGTATAATTAGATATTGCATGTATTTTGTTAGTTGTCTCAAATCCTTTGTATAAGAAATACTAAATCCAAACAAAAATTTCTAAACCAAGTAGACAGTTTTATCAGTTAATCCCTTGGGATCTGATCTGTGTCTGACTGAAATTGAAAATATGTCATAGTGCTTTTTGTTTAGACAAATATGCTAAACTCCTGTCTGGAGCTAAGATAAATGTTTAGGGGATTTTTGTGGGTTGAGTACAGTGAATAAAAAACAGTATTCAAGGACTGAAAATATTCTTTGAAAGAATAAAATAATATCTCACTGTGGAATTACCAGTCTTTACAATGAAAAGGTTTAAAAAATATACCGAGAGTTTCTGAAAATTTTATCAGAGATGACCTAAAGATGAGAGCCTTGTCAATCAGAACATAATTGCCTTATAAGTAGTTCTGAATTGAAAAGATCTTGACACTACACTCCATCCAAGCTATGGCTGAGAGGCCATCAGAGTTGACTATCAGGGAAGAGCATGACATTCTTCCTCAGAGGGAAAAGAATACGTTTTCAAGCTTTATCATTTCTTAGAATAAGAAATTCCTGTTTTTATTCTATATTTTATAATATTTCTATAAATTAAATATTTTTAATTCAATAATCAAAATTTTATCTTATTTTTAACATAAGTAGCTCAATGAAAACATTTCATGTGTTTAAGTAACTGGTGATATCTGTTCATTCAGTCATTAAGTACAAGGAATACAAGAAAAAGGAAACATTGTTTACTCCAAACTGCTTCTCAGAAGTGACCCCTTGGGGACATCTTGGTGAACAGTCTTCCAGAGCATGTGTCTTTGACATTTTCAAACTTATGTATAATGCGCATTGGTTTCTTTGCAGAGTTATCAGTCCTGTTACCTGGGTGTGCATAAAGTTAGATCAGTGAATACAAGATTCACACATTGCTCTATTGGCTGCTGATGGGCCTTTGTTTATTTAAGCTCTTCCATGAGTTGGTGAATCCCGAGGTTCATTCCTGTTTACAATGTACTAAATGGTTAAAAATAGATACTTGGAATGTCTTTTGCATATTTGGGAAGCAAAACAGTTTATGTGTCATGTAGGTAAGCAGTGATACAGGCAAGCAATACAATACAAGATGTAATTGCCCCTGATTTTGCAAGCTTTGCAAACAATAGTGCCAAGAGTACTTCCCTCCCACTTCCTTTTCCCTTTTGTGGCTGCTCACCTGTCTGTACACATAGGTGGAGATGTGAACATTTGGGCATCCCCGGCAACTCTTTCCATCTGTGTTGTCTTGGCTTAGGTTGTGGACCTGGATCGTGGGTTGGTCTTCAATGCCGAAGGGAGATATCTCCAAGACTCACATGGCAATCCTCTCCGGGTGAGACTCGGGGGAGATGGTCGCACCATTGTGGGTGAGTGAGACTGACTCCTAGGAGCAAAAGTGGAGGGAGCTGTGGGACAGCTTTGGTCTTCACCACACCCCTTGTTTCTAATGGTTGCCCATGGTCTTGTCACTCTTAGCTATGTGGGAAGAAGGTCCTCAAATGGGGTCAGAACACAGCATTTTCCTTATGGTTTTAATCACCATTATTTCTGCAGACTGCCCCTCTGGAAATGTCCTCTAGTTTGTTGAACTTAGCCAGTTAGAGCTCAGGTCAGAAGAGTAGAGCCCACAGGCCCAACCCCTGCACTGCCTGATCTGGAAGGCCGTGAGAACAGTTCTTACATTTTAAAATGATTCTTCCCCTTGCCCCAAAAGAAGAATGTCTTGTGACATATGGTAAAATAACATGGAATTTTATAAAATTCACATTTCCTCGTCTATATGCAGAAGCTTTGTTGGAATACAGGAACACTCATTTATGTATCATCTACCTCATTGCTTATGAATTGCTTATGCATTGTCTGCTGTGTGTTTTGTGCTACGAGGACCGATTTGAACAGCTCCATCTGGCCCGCAAAGTTTAAAATACTTACTCTCTGGACTTTAGTGGAAATGTTTGTGACCCCTGGCCCAACCTGAGATGTTTCCTCCCCTAGAAGTAGAAACAAAGAGCAAAGGACCGCTTCCCTCAACAGATGCAGTTTTCTCTGGTAATGGTGCACACTGCCTTAGGAGTTTATATAGTTCTATAGCAGGCGTGATGGGCAATCTCCTAAGCCCGTCTCTCTGAATAGCACCAGATATCACCACCTCAGACAGACACCGTTACTCCTCTGCCTTTTGCTGGTAGAGCATGGGCATACATGAGCTTTGAGAAGACACTTTCTCATTGTGTTTTCTGTCCCAAGATTGTTTCACCTTGTTGTGTGTCTCTTGCTTGATTTTATTTCAGATCTGGGAGGAACTCCTATGGTGAGTCCCGATGGCCTCCCTCTCTTTGGGCAGGGGAGACATGGCAAACCTCTGGCCAGTGCCCAGGATAAACCCATCTTGAGTCTTGGAGGGAAGCCCTTGGTGGGTTTGGAGGTCATCAAAACAACCACCACCGTGCCTACCACCACCACCACCCTTCAACCCCAAACGACCACCACCACCCTTCAACCCCAAACGACCACCACCACCCGCCGGACCACCACCACCACCACCCGCCGCACAACCACCACCAGACGTCCCACGACTACAATCCGAGCTACCCGGAGGACAACTACCACTACCACCACCCCGGAACCTACCACCCCTTCTCCTACCTGTCCCCCAGGGACCCTGGAACATCAGGATGAAGCCGGCAACCTTATAATGGGCTCAAATGGGATCCCAGAGTGCTACCCTGAGGAAGGTAACAAACTTTGCTCTAATGTAGACAGCTTACTTGACTAGTACACTGCAAGTCAGAAACGGGTTTCAGAGCCCGCCAGACAGGGTGAGTGCTGGGCAGGGCAGAATGGCAGTCAGGCAGAGGAATCTTGGGATACATTCAGGGTTGTCAGGTTCAGTAACTAAGAAATACAGTGTGAGATGCATATACAGTGTAGGTGTATGCGTACATACATTTGTCATCCATCTAAAAATTCAGGGTGCCTTTTGTTTATCTAACAATTGAAATTTAATATTATTGGTTTGGGCTGTGTTTCCCTAGGTGCTTTCTACTGTGAGTTGTGTGTGTGTGTGTGTGTGTGTGTGTGTGTGTGTGTGTGAGTGAGTGAGAGAGAGAGGGAGAGGGAGAGAGAGACAGAGACAGAGACAGAGACAGAGACAGAGAGAGAGAGAGAGAGAGAGAGAGAGAGAGAGACATATTGGTAGGTTGTCAGGAAAGCCAGCAATTCACCAGGCAGCAAAGCCTAGTGATCAGCCTTCCTTTTGAAGAATGCCCTTGTCAAGCGATGAGGCTTCTCCTGAGAGTATGGGGTTTCCATCTGAAGAACACACTACTTCTGCTTTGCCGTGGATGATCTGGGCTCTCTGGTCACTACCGACATCTGCCTGTCTTTCCACTGAAGAACGGGAACCGAGAAGGTGCAGGTCATGGTGGAAAGAGCTCGTCATCAGCCTCTCTTCTCAGGCTTCCGTTCAGATTGTCCCGGACGGAGCTCTGCCCTGACACAGACGGGACAGACACACGCCCTTCCCTTGGGTCTGAAATGACACACACAGGCTGTAAAGCCTGCATCTTTTGTTAGTCTAAGGTGGCAAAGACCCTTCCTCCTAGGACACATTTGCCAGCCAGGAATTCTCACAGAGCGTTGCTGCCTATGAGGAGCCCTGAGGAACCGGAGCATGGACGCCGTGTTCAGACTGAGGGCACTGTTTGCATGGAAAGGTGCACAATTCATGGGAAAACCAGACACACTGGAGAGTCCACGCGGAGAGCAAGGAAGCGCAAACCAGGGGGAGAGAACCCTTGTAATGTTCTCTTGGTGAGTACAAATCTGAATCCCCCCCCTTTTTTTACATTTATTTACTTACTTGTTTATGGGAGGGGCGTGTTGGGTACACATGCACCAGAGTTTGTGTATGGAGGTCAGAGGACAACTTGGGAGAGTCAGTTCTCTTCTTCCCCATGTGTGCTCCAGAGAGGCGACTCAGGTCATCAGGCAAGTGACTTTATCTGCTGAGTTGTCTCGCTGGCCCATGGATTTTACCTTTAACTTTTTAGCATTAAAGTGATTTCTTCTTCCTTCTGCATATGTTTATATGTTTGTTTCTGAAAGTAAAACTGTAACTATGGATAAATTGCTCAGTAATTAATACGGGTTGTAAACAAAAGAATGATTGCCTAGGATTTGGCTTTCATCACTGCTGGTTTGCATTTTATTTGGTCTGCATCTCGAAGGCCCTGTGGATGTTATTCCATTTCTACTCTTCTATTCCAGACTTTGATTTGGCATGAAATTCAGTAGATTTTCCTTAGCATCTGTGCTCACACTTTTCTTTGCTGGTCACAATGCACAGTGCTCATGTCACTTGCAAACCCTCTTCTAACTCTTTGGTCCAACCCACAGGCTAACGGACCCCTAGGCAGCATTTTAAGATCAACTACAAATAGACACAAAGTCCGATGAAAGAAAGTTAAACTCTGTGAGAGTGGCATGTCTCCTTGCCATTTTTTTTTATGACCTGCGCCTTATTTTTAGAACCCTTCAGTGAACTCTGCATTCTAGATCATCTGTTTCTAGAATTTCAATGTTCTATTCCTTGCTTTTATTATAGTTGTAGTTACTTAATATCTTAATTAAACCCCCCCCCCTCACTGGGTTGTGGTTGACGTATAAAGAGTCGTGCGTGTTGACGCAGTCTGAGGAGTTTGGGTGAGAAGGCTTGTGTACACATCGGGCCATCAAGACCACAGACATGTCCACCACCCCTCCGAGTCCTCTCCCTTATGATGATTCTTTTTATTTTTTCCCTCCATCTCACGTCCAAGAGTTGCTTTTCTTCTGTGTCACTAAGCTGGTCCACTGACCTAGCACTCACAGGTTATTACTTCCTGAGTTACTTACAGTGGGATCCAAATGGCTTCCTGTCCACTGGTTTCCAGTTTAACATGGCATTATCAAATATGGCCACAAGCCAGGCACAGTACTTGCTTGCCTCTTGTGAAGGAATTTCATCCCAAAGATGGCTGGAGATTTGAAAACAGCAGAGTCAGATTGTTCTAGAAAGCCTGCTCACCAACTATATATCACACACCTTTTTTTTTTTTTGTTGACTGAGCACGTGTAATGGCCTCAATTGCGAATGTGCTATAATCATTGTAATGGCACTTGGAGCAGGGGTGGTCCCTGTCAGGCCCCAGCGCCAGAGGAAGAAGGCCTGTTCCTTGGCTCCCCACAGACCCCACAGGAGCTCCTGGGCCTCACCTACGCCCTGGCTTTGCCTTCCACGGTCGTGTTCCCTTCACATTACCGCCTTTGTTGTGCTAAGCGGTGTTCCGTTTTGAACATGCACTCTCTGTGCATACACCGTGGCTCCCTCTGTACACAGCTAAAAGCAGCCAGACACCATCCTGGCTGCTGCACTCCCAAGCCTAGGTGCCTGAGTGTTTTCTGCTGCTGTGGTTGTGACTGGGAACCTGCACGGTGGTTGTGAAGGACACCAATGAGGGGCTTTTCCAAACCCCTCTCCTCACCCCCTTCAGCTGACCAGGGGACATTCCATCCCTTCTATAAAGTCCTGGTGTTTTGTTGCAGCTCTCCAGCTTTCAAAACATCTTTTCAAACATCCGAGTTTTGGCTGCCTTGGTTAAATCACGCCTCCTCCTCTTTTCCTTTCAAAATTGCTTTCAAGAAATGTTCTAGGAATAACCTTGGGCCATTCAGTCATGCCAGCAACTCTGTTATTTGTGGATACGTCCTCATTTGTTACGGATGCTGTACTTCCCCATAACCATAGATGCCCATTACATGCTTGTTCCCTGTGTATTACTGCATTTGTTCCTCTCTTTTTACAGACACGCACACACACACACATCAATACACACATACACATGAACACACAATACATATCCATGTGTACATACACACACATCAATACACACATACATATCAATGTGCACACACACATCAATACACACATACACATGAACACATACATACATATTCATGTATACACACACATCAATACACACATACACATGAATACACACATACATATTCATGTGTATACACACACATCAATATATACACACACGTGAACACATACATATCCATGTGTATACACACATGTGAAAACACACATACATATCCATGTACACACACACACACACACACGTGTGCGTGCATGCATGCGCGCAAGGACAATGGTTTTCGTTTTCATTTTTTTTTTTAGCTAGAATTGACTTCTCTGCTCAGAATGAACCCCGGAAGAGCTGAGGGATAGTAGGCTCTGTCCTGGCTCTAACTTGTCAGGGTACCACCTTATCGTCTTTAGGCAGCTAAATTCTTAAGATGCAGGCGTTCTGGGTTTCCTAGCTGGGAAGTAAAAGCCAATGATCTTTGTTTTCTAGGCTCTCTCTGCAGTAGATTGGGTGCAATGGCACACATTTGGAAGTGCCCTAAGCCAACCGAACATTCAAGAATTTATAATGTGACCTCATCGCGTGTTGGAGAGACACACTCATCATTAGAGAAAACAGTTCCAACCTCCCACGTTCGCCCTCTTGACAGAAATTTCCAAGAGAAAATCAGAATGTACTTGCAGTGGGCCCGCCATACCGTGTGAGAATGTGCCCGAGACCCCAAGGCTGGTGTTTTCTTCCTTTCTCTAAATTTCTACGGAGAACAAACTTTAAAAGAAAACTGTAATGTCTCTGGAGCTGAGGCCCTAATTCCTTGGAGACATCATGCATTCATTTTTTTTTTTTACGTGAACACAGGTGAGGTACTGAAAAGCCTTGTCAACACCAACCTGTCGATGACTGGAAGCTGCTTTTAGATGAAGATCAGACTTTTGACGGGGTGGGGTGGGGGTTGGGCTGGGCTATAGGACATCCAGTTTTACAGAGTTCTAGATGGTCTTGTGTGGCAGTTGGATGGTCATCAGTTCTGACGATATTGTGGATATACAGTCATTGCACACAGAAGATGCATTTCCTTGGAGAGAAAATGGTGGTATCTCAGAAACAAATCCATTTTATTTGGGTCTAGAAATGGGCTAAATTACTTGGTGGGGTGTTCACTCATACCAGAAGCCTTGTGTTGGTCATCGCAAGGGGTGATCTAAGTTGGCACCTGTGACATCCTGCAAGGCACCAGCTACTTCAGCAGCTGAAGGAGTGACCACAAACCCGGGAACCCACAAAGACAGCTCTGCTTCTCCCTGTTCATGTTTGTCCCGGGACAGTGAAAAAACTGCGCATCTTGTTCATTTCTTTGTAAGCCTGGAGATATAATGAAAACGGAATGGAAATGATCAGCGGGAAAGTCACACTGCACTCCTAAAAAGCTAAACTCTCAGAGGAGAGTAAAATGGTGGTCAAGAACCACAGTGTCCGCAAGATAAACCCAAGGTTAAGGCACTGTGAACCTGGAAACAGATTTGAATAGACTTAGAAGTGATTCTGTCTTGGATACAGGCATACTGATGTTGCCCTAGCCTGTGGATAATAATAATGTATATTAATAATATATATTAATAACCATGCTTGGGATTTGTTTCACAAGATGATCATCCTGTCCCTGAAGGGTGGATAATCTGGAACTGGCCTTATTAAGGACACTGTTAGCACAGGTTGTCACCCTAAGGTGATGCGCAAGGACGCTGGAGCCTGTCTTGAGCAGCTGAGGGTAGCTGTGAGTGTCCTGCTGCTGTGTTCAGAAGGGATGAGCAGGTGACAGCAGACTGCTCCCACCCTCCACTATGGGATCTCACCTTGGCACTGTATGTTATATAATGAAACATTGCTGTGTAAGTTAGATCTGATGCTAAAATAATGCAGTTTCCTGGAGATGGGAGTTTATATACTTGTGCTCCCCTTTCGTTTCACTGAGAAATGTTGAGTCAAACAACACAGGTTTAGACACAGTTGGATTGGCTGGTTCAGCTTCTGAAAAGTAGAGGCTGTGTGATGGAATATAAAGTACGTAGTCTCCGAGCCAGAGGGAGAACCTCGAGCTCAGAGGGAGAACCTCGAGCTCCCTGTTCAGCACCTGCGTAGCTTCGGGCCGCTACAAGTCCTCTCAGAACCTAGTGTGGAGCCTGGGAAGTGGGCGTGATAAACACCGTTATCCAAAGGATATGGTGTGACGGGATTGACTCACACAGCATACCCTGAGAGCACCCAGAGCCCATCAAGCATCAGGGAGTCACCCCTTTCAAGGGGCATTGTGCCCAGAGAGTTCTGGGGTTCCGATGGCATTCCCTGTGCTAACGTGGGGGAGATACTGGGATCAGCAGCTGGTTTCTGGTCACCACTCAGGATGAAAGAGTCGCCAGGCTTCTGAGACAGCACTGGGAAGAGCCACGGGCCTGTGATGACCTGTCCTCATCTCTCTTCCTCCCTAGATGACTTCTCGGGGCTGGAGGCTGACACAGCAGCACCCATAGAGGAGGACTATGCCGTGTATGATGACGGTACGGAGCTGATCCCAAAGCACACACTTGGTTTTCTGACCTCAAGATCCCATTTCAATTTTAAGCGTTTGACAGCGTTTTTCTCTGGGATGGGGCGGGGCGAGGGTTAACTACCCCCTCTCCCGGGTCACTCCCAAATTCGTATTTGATCAAAAGGAAAGCAGCAAGTCCCTTCCAACCCCCTTACTGCTGAAGCAGTCCTGGTGCTGCCACTCACTGCCCAGCCTTCCCTTCATCAGCGTCTCAATTGGCAAAGCCACGTGGCTTAAATCAGCTCAGAGCCTCTTAGTTGGGCTCTGTTCTTCCTCACTCTTTCCTAACTAAATAACATAGATGTGGCCACAGATGTGTTGATTTCTCGTTATGGAAACTTTTCAATGGTTAAGTTCAATATTGCAAAATGCCCCTGACCCTGCTACAGTAGCCCCTGAGGAAGTGGCACCTGCTTTAGTCTCAGGGCCCTGGGGTCGTATTGTCTCCTCTGTAATTGCCCCTACCGTTGAGAAGTTCACCTTGGAGACGTGCCTACCTGGTGTGGACCTTTGCCGTCTAAGCTAAGGTTAACTTCCTCTTATTCGCTGGTGTCAGGCACAATCCCGTAAACAACGTTGTCGTTGATGCTGTTTTTGAATTCATAATGAAGTGATCTTAAACAGAAACATTAGGTGTTAGGAAGCCCAGAAAGATTTCTCAGCACCTTGGGAAACTCTCACTGTCTATCTTTGAGCAATTGGAGATCAGTTTCATTTTCTCTTTTAAATATTAAAAGGTTCTTTTTAGAGCATTAATCCAAGTATCTTCCCCAAAAAAGTCTGTACCTAGATTTTTTAAAAATATTTTTCATTTCTTAAATTTTATGTGTGTGTGTGGTGTCTGAGCGTGTGTATGTACACCACATGAGTGCAGTGCCTCTGGAGGCCAGAAGAGGGTGGTAGGTCACCTGAAGCTGGAGTTACAGGCAGTTGTGAACTGTCAGATGTGGGTTCTGGGAACCAAACCTGAGTCCTCTGTAAGAGCAGTTAAGGGCTCTTAATTAATGGTTAAACCATCTCTCCAGTCCTAAGGCTTTCTGTTTAATTTAAACTTATTTTCTGATGTGATTTTTAAATTGATTTATATTGTACTTTTCATGAATTATGTATGTGAACATATGCATGTCGTGTGAGTTTACATGCACCACATGCATGCAGGTGCCTATGTAGGCCAAAGGATGTCAGGTCCCTGGAACTGCAGGTGTAGAAGGTTGTGAGCCACCTGCCATGGGTGCCAGGAACTGAATCCAGGTCCTTTGCTTGAGCAGTGAGTGCTTTTAGCCACGGAGACGTCTCTCTCACTCCGATGTGATCTTTTATGGCTTTAAAAGGAAAAGAAATTCAAGTAAGGACTAACTTTGGGCACAAACATGGTCTGGAAAATTCTGAGGGTCTCCCATTTTCTGTTTTCTAGGGTGTGTGTATGTATGTAGGAGGAGGATATGTGTGTGTGTGTGTGTGTCTGTGTGTGTTGTATAGATATATGGATGTCTATGTGTGGTGTGTGTATATCTGTGTACGTGTGCATGGTGTATGTGATGTCGAGGCGGTAGGTGGTGTCTATATGTGTGTGTGGTATAGCTTATGTATGGTGTGATATGTATATATGCATGTATATATGTCTAAATGTGTGTGTGTGTTGGTTATGGTATAGGGAGTGAATCTGGTATGGTGTGTGGGGTGTTTCTGTGTGTGAGTATGTGTATTTGTGTGTTTACAGTTGGATCTTAAGTATCCAGTGCTTCTTTTGACAGCACCCAATTACAAATACTTCCTATCTTTCCAGATTATGGGTTGGAGGTCACGAGGCCACCGACCACCGTCATACCTTCCACCACTGCTGCCACACCAAAGGTCATCCCAGAGCAAGGCACGGTCAGCTCCTTCCCAGAGGAAGAATTTGATCTGGCTGGAAAGAAACGATTTATTGGTGAATGTCACATCCTTAATCAGAAGTTAACTTTTGCCTTTGAAGTCAGTGTATCTGAGCCTTGGTCTGGCTAAGGTGGTTGCATTTTAAGAAAACACTTCCCTGGGGTGAAATTTCCATTTGGAGTAATTTAGTGAGCCCATTTTACTTAGATGCACATTAATTTGCGAAAGCCCGCACTAACCAGGGAACTGTTGGTGCTCAACAGAGGACTTCAGCAAGTGTATACATGTGAGTGTACCCATGCATGTGCCCACACATGTGCACATGGTGGCCAGAGGACATCTGGTGTCTTTCTCCATCACACTCTACTTTGTTCCCCTGAGGTGGCATCTCTCACTGTGGCCAAAGCTTGGCATTTCAGTTCGGCTGGCTGGCCAGGGAGACTGCAGGATCTGTCTGTCCCCAGACCCCAATACCTGGGTTATAGAAAGCACAGCTGTGTCCAGTTTTTACATGGCTTTGGGGGATCCAAACGTAGGCCCTCAGGCTTACACAACAGGGGTTCTTACCCACTGAGCCATCTTCCCTGCCCCGTGGTTAATTAGTCTTTTGAAGACATTTGGTGGTTGGACCTTGGCTTGCACAGTTTCCTGAATTCTGAACAGTGCAGCTTGGTGAAAACTGCCACTAGTTATAACAATGTTGCAGAAACCAAAGCTCTCTGTCTTATTATCTTCTCTGACTTCACTATCCTCGGAGAGTTGGGTTCTAGAAATTCATTTCCCCCTCTTCTTTCTCAGCAGTTAAAACAGTTTCAGTTGAAAATTCTGTGCAGTTGAACTATGCTCTATTCCCTTCCCAAGCCGTGTTTTCCCATGCCCTTGATGAACTGCATTAATGAGACAGTTGGATTAATACATTACTGAGTGGAGACAAGCTACAGCTTAAATTAATATCACACTTTTCAGTTTCCAAAACAAATGTCTTGCCATGAGCAGAGAAGTCTTGCCAGCCAAGAGTCAGTGACTGGGCATCTTAGCGTACAAGTTAAAGAGCAAACCCACTAGTCCAAGGCAGCATTCCTGGGGCTAGAGCCAGTGTTTGCCTGGTGCTGGGTAGCCTGGAGAGTCCACACCAAACTCTCACTCCCCCTGCTATACCACAACGGAAAGTGGGAGAGGCATTTAGTGGTACCATTAACCTTTCCACGGGTCTTCAGAAATTTCTGGTTGCTTCAGTTGAGAACACTTGAGGGTCCTGGGTATATAAAGCCTTAACTTCTCTTGGAATGGGATACAGTCACAATAGCTGTGGGCTGGGGAGCAGAGAGCCTACTGTTTGTCCCTGACTGGCAAGCCCATTCTCCTCCCCGGAGGCTCAGCTGGAATGGGGGACCAGGTCATGACCTGCATATTCCCAGTCTCCTGTAGAAGTCATGTGGGTAGGAAGGACTTCAGCGTGCCATACGTGAGAATGAGAAACTCAGCAACAGTGTTGCAGACAGCCCTTGGCATTACCTCCGAACTTCCAAGAGGGTTGTGAGGCCTACAGGAGGCCACCTAGGGAGAGAGATGGCGGCTGCCATCTGTTTATGTGACCTCAGGATGCTGAGGGAACAAAAGAAATGTAATGAGAGGACGCTAGCTGACTGACTCACAGTTTTCCAAATCTGAGGGCACAGGAATGGAAGAATGCTGGTGGCTTATATTACATCAAATTGCAGCCAGAGGATCTTTCTAAATCACTTTGAGGTTATAGTCATCAGCTTTGATGGGGGCAATGAGACATTTTTGCAACCATCAGATTTCAAGCTATTATGTACATGGATCTGTTAATGAGACAGGGATTGCCCTTTGATTTTGCTTATGTTATAAGTGTATAGTGTGTGTGTTTATGTGTGCATATTTGCATGTGTGGGGGCACATGTGTGTGGGCACACGTGTGTGGAGAGGCCAGAGACTGGTGCTGGGTATCTTCCTTGCTCATTCTTCACTATTTACTAAGGCAGTGTTGTTTGCTGAACACAAAGCTTGCCACTCATTGTAGTCTAGCTTACCACAGGGCTCCCTTGTCTTAGCCTCTCAAGTATCAGGGTTCTAGGAGGCTGTCATGCCTGCTCCATGGTCACATGGGTGCTACGGATTGAATTTAGGCCCTTACTGTGGTACAGTGTGTGCTTTATTCACAGAGCTGTCTCTGTAGCTCAAGGATGTGCTCTGGAATTAGCATCGAGTGTCTCTGGAGTCTTGGCAGGGACAGGCTAAATTGTGGATCTGATTCCATGAGACACATTGCTGTGATTCTGCCCCCCCCTGCACCCCTCAAAAAACAACAGCATCAAACCAACTCTAACCAGGCATCTCTGCTCTTCCCAGCTCCTTATGTGACATACCTCAGCAAAGACCCATCGGCCCCATGTTCCCTGACTGATGCTCTGGATCACTTCCAAGTGGAGAGCCTGGATGAACTCATTCCGAATGACCTGACGAAGAATGACCTCCCTCCTCAGCACGCGCCCCGCAACATCACCGTGGTTGCCATGGAAGGCTGCCACTCATTTGTCATTGTGGACTGGAACAAGGCCATCCCCGGAGATGTGGTCACAGGTGTGTCCTAGGCAGATGCTCAGCATTCCCAGGGGTCTGTCAGAGGGAGGAGAAGGGAGTGGGTGGGTGCACAGATGGACAGGTAAAGCGAGGAAGGTGGACATCGTCTTCAGTGGCGTGGGGAACACAAGTTACCTCGGGAGCCTTGTGAGTCGTTAAAGAATGCTGGATGGAAGCCAGAGTCCTGAATTATAATCTCAGATTGTTTTGTATGGCCTTGATCTAACAATACATCACCTTGCTTGGGGTTTGTTTCCTCATAGGAAAAAAACGTCATTGTATCTTTAACCTTCTATTATTCTGAAAATATCCAGGCAACCACTCATCAGCTGAAATCCTGTAGGAGAGGATGGTGAAAAGGTTTCTACTGGAGTGTTACTTAGTCTCTTTCTTCCATGCCTTCTGGCTGCTCCCATGGCAACCTGGATGCCTCCCAGTCCCTTATGTGGGCATTGAGACAAATGAAACAACCCTAAGTGTCTGGAGCCTCTCCCCCGGGTCTTGGCCTATGAGATGCTTGTGAGTTTCTGTGACCCTGCCGAGATGGCAATGGAGACTGAGTCTGTTGAAATGAATTCTTACAGAAAGGGAATCGCTGTGTTCTGCGAACAGTGGGGTTATAGGAGGGCCTCCACTCCCTGCCCCAGCAATAGGGCTATAAGAAGGCATGTGCCCACACTCGGCTCTCTAAGTGTATCTGAGAATTTGAACTCAGATCCTTGCGCTTGCATGACAAATGCTCTTTCCTCTGCGCCATCCCCACTGCTGTGACTGGCGAATGGGTGAGCACGCAGGACAAAGCGTATCAAAAATCTTGTCTTATGCTGTTTGGCTTCAGATCCCTCCTACAACTGTTGTCTCTAAACAACTAGGTCAAAGTCAGCACCTGGAAGTCATAGGTGAGCTATGATGAATGAGTGAGGATCACTGTGAGTCCCTCAGTCACACACCCCCCCCTGCATGCCTGAGAGTCACCGACAGTAATCTTCATTTCACGTACAGGACAACTGTATGTCGCTACCAAGAAACTTGTCTTTTGAGTTCTTACTTATGTGTTCATTGTACAATGACGGTTTTCAGAATCACATTTTCATTCCAGTGTATCATGTACCATATTCACCCCCTACCTTCCCCCTTTAATCTCCCTTTCTGCTACTTTCATGTCATATATATGATATGTATCTATCTATCTACCTATTTATCTATGTATCATCTGCCATTATCTTCATTATCTATGCATGTATACATGTATTTATTTCTAACTCTGTCTATCTATGTATCATCTGCCATTATCATTATCTATGCATGCACATATGTATTTATTTCTAACTCTATCTGTCTATCTATCTATCGTCTATCTTCCACATCTAATAGGAAAAACAGAACATTTGTCTGAGTCTGTCTTATCAAATGCTAAGTGCAGAGCACTGTTCTTCTTTCTCTCGCTTCTTTATTCTCTATGAAGTCATTATTAGATGTAATTAGCCCTGATGATCTGAGTGAGGCCAGGGAATGAGGGGGAGGTAGAAAAGGAAGAGAAGAATGGAACCCGTGAGACATCAGAAAGCACTTGAGTTTTCTGTCCCTGCCTGAATTCACCAGAAGTCACTGAATTCTACCATTCTGTCACAAAGTGAAACTTGCTGTCCTTGAGGGTCTCACAGAGCTGTATGCATGCATTACTCCCTCCCAATCATAACTTCTTGTGGTCTGTTTCTCCGTTAGCTTCAGCTGTCAACTTGACACAGCCCAGAAAGATCTGAGGGCGTCTCTACTGGGGCGTTGTCTCTATCAGATTGGCCTATAGAGACAGCTGTGGGGCATTCTCTTGATTGACAATTGATGTGGGAGAGCCCAGCCCACTGTGGGTGGCACAGTTCCTATGCAGGTGGGTGTGTGCTGCATATGACGGGTAGCTGAGCAAGCCAGAGGAGGAAGCAAGCCAGTAAGCAGCATTCCTCTATGGTTTCTGCCTTAAGAAATTCCCTGACTCCTCTTAATGGTGGAGTATGACCTGGAAGTGAGAGGTGAAATAAACGCTTTCCTGTCCCAAGTTGCTGTTGGTAATGGTGTTTATTGCAGCATCAGGAAAACACTAGAACAGTCCCTTGATACTCACCAGGGTTTCCCTCCTTCCTGTTTCCAGGATACCTGGTCTACAGTGCCTCTTACGAGGACTTCATCAGGAACAAGTGGTCAACTCAGACTTCATCAGTGACACACCTGCCCATTGAGAACCTGAAGCCAAACACAAGGTATGACACAGTGGTCACTTACAAACAAATGGCCAGACCTTCGAGCTCGGTCACGGTATCACTCGGCTAGGAACAAAGGATTAATCAAAGCCTCACCATTTCCTTGAGTTCTGGGTCTACCTCATGGGATACCAATGAAGGCTTATCACGTACCATGTCTTTTGCTTAAGAGAAATTACTGCATGTGTTGCAGTTGTTACTTAACAAGTGCTTTTGTTCCTTGTTTAGGGAAACAAGAAACATTGCCTTCCATAAGGGAAGGGAAATTGTTCTGTATATTGGGAGCGAATTGATTCATTTTTTAAAACACAACCTTGCTATGTAACATCGGTGGGACAGTATTTTGTCATATGTACTAGTTAACTGACATTTAAGCTTTGCGATGTAAATGTTCAGAACATTCTAGAAAGGAGTGTTCCACACATTAGTAAAGGTTACAGCGTGTGTTCATCACCAAGCAGTGGTTGGCTGACAGAGCACTGTTCTGGAAGCCAAAGTTTATGACACTCAGTGAGAGACTGGCAAAACTGGCTCACACGGAGTACCTGACTGCATTATTGGGTTGTATCGCCTGATTTGGGAGTTATGGCTATCAGAAAGTAGCCTGGTGGGTAAACCATGAGTGATCCACTGAGCAGGTCTTGGTCAGGCAGTGGTGTGCTGGTAGACTGACCATCTGAGTAGCTAGGCATGGGGGAGGAGGGGGAACCCCTGGTTTATAGCATTTTCAATGGCTGTACTTCAGGTAGTCCTGCTGTGACCAATTGCACAATATCAATGGGCCTGTAGGATCCCCAAATAACTCATGACTGGCTTCTGCAGGCTGTCCAGATAGCACAGTACCACAGTGTTTACAGAGCCAGGCTTGCAGGGAAGAGCTCAAAGCTCTGCCACAGGCAGAGGAGCAGAGGAAGGCAGGAACAAATGACTCAAAGATACTCAAATACGGGCTGCGGGCGGGGTGGCAGACAGAATCTGGCCAGAGCCCTGTTGCCAGGAGACTTCCCCAAAGCTGGGGAGCACTTCCTGTGACATCTCAATGCGCCACTTAGGCTCACTGGAACCGAGCTTCCATCAAATGTTATGAGTCGCAGAGCTTGGCAAATGAAACGAAGCAGTAAGTCAGGGAGGGGAGAAAGTGCTTCGTGCTCCCCTAACGAGTGAATGCTGACCCGTCATGAAAATTAACCAGAGGGAATGAAAGCAACAGAGACAGGTGAGACGGGGCTGGCCTTTTCACTGTGTGCAGGGACCCTACGTCCACAGCACAGCCACCACACAAATCAAAACGCCGGGCGGCGGCTTCCAGTGGGCTTGCTACACAGCCACTGGCAACACAAGTTGGATCTTACGCTCCTGACCTCTCCCTGCCCCATCTCCCCTGTCTGTGTCCAGTGTTCTTTCCACAACTCTTGCTGCCATATTGGATTCTGCCATTTTGACTGTCAGGTGACGGTCCGTGTCTCTGGGTCCAAACTTCATCCAAGCGCCTCTTCCTGTTTACTTTGAGCCAGGTTTTAGGGCGTAGGGGATGAGCCAGATGCAGCTCTCATACAGTGGGCAGTGCTGTCCTCGTGGGGTTTATTGTGTGGTGGTTGTGTGTGTGAGGGAGCAGATGCTAAAAAGGAAAAACAACACAGATACAGACTTCCATAGCCATCGCTGGCAAAGTAAGATGCTTGGGGACTCCGTTTCCTTCTAGATGAGCTGGTACATTCAAACCCTGCTTTCCAGAGTATGCTCTGTTCTGAGACAAAGTGTGGCCCCACAGGAAAGCTTTCCTCTGCCTGATATTCCTGGGCATTCTTCTCTTTCCCGGAGGTCCAGGAGCTCGAGATGTGGCTGTCTTGTTAGTGCCACTGAGAAGGCCACCCCAGCCTGCCTTTCCTGCTAGTCCCGAGTCACAATATGGTTGAATCCACCATGGGGGCTGAGATGTTGATTAACTTAACATTTGAGTTCTACTCTGTTTTGTTGTACCAGCTCCTCCCTCTTGGAGCTTCTGTTGGCAGCTGAGTCTTAATCAGGTTTCTAAAAGACGGACTGGGAGAGTTACCGCATGCCAGCCTGTATGCTCCAGGAGAAACACTTGGGGAAGCTGTCAGCCATGTGTCTGTGCTGTGTTAATTTTGCCATTTCAATGGATCACCAAAACAACTGAGAAAGTTCAGGGGGAAAGAATACGGATGAGTGTGTGTGTGTGTGTGTGTGTGTGTGTGTGTGTGTGTGTGTGTGTGAAAACAGACAAGCACGACTCCAGAGTTACTACAGAGGCATGCTTGGGAAGTTGGGAATCTGTCTCATCTGTCTCATAACTCAGAAGGCAAATCAGTCTCTTTACAAAGACATTTTCTTTCGATTTCAGATACTACTTCAAAGTTCAAGCCAAAAACCCTCACGGCTATGGACCTGTCAGCCCTTCGGTCTCGTTTGTTACAGAATCGGGTACGAGTTCACTCATCTCTGTTTTGCTTTTGTGAAAAGTGAAATACAAAAGTAGAATTGACAGCTATTGACACAGTAAAAATTAAGGCAAGAAAAGTCTTCTGTTTGGGTGGGTTCAGGTTTCTCTTTATAAAGCGAGCATCCCCCTCCCCCCCAGTCCTCACCTCCCCCCACCGCTGCTAGTTTAGGAGAAAACTAACAATTTCTCCCTGCTCCAGTTTGGTTCGCTCTTTTAGTTACAGCCGGCATTTCAGCACTTTCACAACTGTGATGTATGCTGCAAAATCAGTCATTTATGTTTTTCGTCCACAGACAATCCTCTGCTCGTTGTGAGGCCACCAGGTGAGTTTCTCAACCTGAGGATTCTGATGCTCTGGTTGACGTGGGTGTAATGTGCCGTACGGTCACTGTGCCGCCCCACAAGAAGAGATGGTGGGGGCATTTTAACATCTGGGTGATTTTCTCCGACAACTTTGGTTCATCCACCCTCCATTCTCTTTGTGGAAGAGAATGACTTGAAAATGCCTTGGGAGGGCTGTGGCTGTTGGTATCTATGGAAAATCGTGATGGAGGATATCCAACACCTATACAATAGGTGCTTTGTTTACGTGGCTCTTGAGCAGTTTAATGTGATGGAAACAAGTGTGCAAGGGTATCTTACCCCCCCCCAACATCAATGCCCTGAATATTGAGTTCAAGACGGGAACAAAGAGTGACCATAAGGGTGGGGCTCTAGGTGTAGGGACTTGGTGGCATGTACTAATAGGCTAATATAGCTGCTTTCCCTTGAGACTTACATCTTTCATTAGCTTTGAGAACCCTTTGTTGAAATAAATATTCTAGGGTAAAAAGCACCCTCCCCTTCAAATATGCTAGTTAGCTTTTCATTGCCATGACAAAAATGTGGGAAAACCAGGGAAGAAGGGTTGACCTTGATTTATAGTTTTGGGGATTTCAGAGCAGTCACTTGGCTCCCTCAATCCTAGGCCTGGGGTAAGGTATAACATTATATCAGAAGGACATCAGTAGCAAAGCTGTTCTTCACAGCAGGCAGGCAGGTGGGAGGAAGAAGGGGGACCCCTTCCAAGCTATGCTGTTACCTGTTTCCTTCCCCGGCCCCCTCCTTCACTCAGGCATGAGTCTATTAGTGGGCTAACCCATGATGACCCTAGGACCTTCTTGATCCACTAATCTCTCCAAACCCAAGAGGAGCGGACCAACCCTCTAACACATGAGCCTTTGGGGGATGTTTTTAGATCCAACCCATAATACTTTAGTTCTATTCTAGTATTTGAAAAGGAAAGGGAACACAAATGCATGCACATTTGCTCAGAGAAGCCCCAAGAGGAAGGCAGGCCATGTGAAACGCCCACCTTCCTGATGATTTGCGTAGACAATGACCCCTGTAACGGCCGTATCTTAGAGCATGCGTTTTGTGTCGTCAAGGTGGTGAGCCCATCTGGATCCCATTTGCTTTCAAGCACGACCCTGGCTACACTGACTGCCACGGCCGGCAGTACGTGAAGCGGACATGGTACAAAAAGTTTGTGGGAGTCGTTCTCTGTAACTCACTGAGGTATAAGATCTACCTCAGTGACAACCTCAAAGGTATGTCTGGTGCTGGGGTGGCTGTGGTAAACTTCGGCTGGGTACTGACTCGAAAACTGGGTGCCTCAGGGCACGTCTGAGGCCTGGAACCGTGGGTGCAAACCAGTGTTGTAGACTCTGCTTTGGAATCGCTAGCTTTATATATACCTACCCACTGCACTTTAGGAATGAAATCTGAAACCAGCTGGCCTGACTAGCTTTTGATTTGCTTATTTTTCTTGCCAGAAAGGATCAGCTTGTCAAAACAAAGTCTTCCACCCCCATCTCTGGAGATTTATCAGCCTCATCTCATCACTAGATAGTCGGCCCCCTCCCCACGTCTCCATCTCTGTGTGCCTCCTCTCATCTCTTTCCATCTCTTCCACTCACTTTCTCTCTCATCAAATCTCTGGGAGAGATTGGGCAGTCGTCTTCGGGAGTCCCCTGTGGGGAACACACAATGTCGGTCCACTTTGCAGTCATGCTTCAGCACCACGGACAGCGCCTCGTGCCAGCCCCTCTGGTGTGGAAATCGTTTCCTCTAATTACACAGACCTGCTTAGCTTCTTACCTCTATCACGTCTTTCTCCATTCTGTCTTGAAAGCCGGGGAATAGCATGTCCATCATTTGCAGAGTAGAGCTGCCTGTACTGTCCAAAGTCCTCTCCTACTGAGCATGTGTTAGGTATTTAGTATACAAGTTCTCTCTGGCTTCTTACAACACTTAATGACATTTGTGCCGTTACAAACATTTTTCAGATGTGGAAACTAGGGACATATGATCTAAATAACGTCCCCAATCCAGTTTCCAAAGCTCGTTCTAACTTGTAAGCCAACTGTGACACTCTCCAGTATTCACTGACCTGTGATGTGCCCTTATGCAGACACATTCTACAGCATTGGAGACAGCTGGGGAAGAGGTGAAGACCACTGTCAGTTTGTGGATTCACACCTGGATGGAAGAACAGGGCCTCAGTCTTATGTAGAAGCCCTCCCCACCATTCAAGGTAAGAAAAAGCTAGTGTTTTATCCTCTGTGTGTGTGTGTGTGTGTGTATGAGAGAGAGAGAGAGAGAGAGAGAGAGAGGAAAATTATTATAATGAGAAAAGTGCATGGTAGCTCTGCCTTTGACATAAAATTCAGAGATTAATGTTGGGAGCACTTTGGATCATAAAGGGTAAGAATAAGGAGTTGAGGAGTTAGAGTACTTCCACCTTATGCTGGCCTCGAGAAGCTGGGAATACAGAGGCATATATAAGACCCATCCCTGTTCTCGGAAACAAGCTCTGTCGCCAGGGAGAGAAAACAACTGTGTGAAAGGCGAATAATGATGGACAACAGGTTGTGTAAATAGCAACTGATTATGCCACCTGGCTGTCCTCTTGCCAAGGAACTGTGTTCTTTGATCATATGAATTCGAGGTTTCTAGGAGAGTCAGTATGAATTGCCTCTTATAATAAGGATGAACATGAACAGCGCACAGTAGAGTCCTTCCAGAGGGCCCAGCTTGCGCGAAGGGTAAGCACGACCCTCCTCAGGAGTGGCTTCAGGGCCAGGGCACTAGCCCTCCGAGGAAGCTTTATGAGGTGAGAACACAGCAGCTAGCAGCTGTGGCATGTCACAGATGAGCCCAGCCCTCCCTGCAAACCAACAGCAGCTGGAAGTGGTCCAGCATCTTCCCACCATCCACTCAGCTCCAGGGTATGTCATGTGCTGATCTATCAAGTTTCTTAATTGTGGAAGAAATATGTGTGTGCCTTACATGAGTGCCATGACTTAGTTTCTGTTGCTGTGATAAGACACCATGACCAAAAGCAATGTGGAGATGAAAGGGTTTGCTCGGCTTACACACCCTGATCATAGGCAATCATCGAGGGAAGCCAAGACAGGAAGTCAAGCAGGGCAGGAACCTGGAGGCAGAAACTGAAGCAGAGGCCATGGAAGACTGCTGCTTGTTGTCTTGCTCAGCTTGCTTTCTTACACACCCAGGACCCCCTACCCAGGAGTAGCACCTCCTGCAATGAGCTGGGCCCTCACACATCAATCGTTAATTAAAAAAAGTCCCACAGGCCAGTCTGATGGAAATACCTTCTAAACTGAAGTTCCTTCTTCTCAGATGGCCCTAGCTGTGTCAAGTTGACAAAAATACTAACACAATGAGTTGCCATTTTATAAAAATTAAAATACACAGGCAATAAAAAAGTGTATTTAGAACCTTTTATCTAGAATAAAGAACTAATGGTATTTATCTATTTAGATGTGTTATAGAGAGATGCCTCAGACCAATGGTATTTATCTATTTAGATGTGTTATAGAGAGATGCCTCAGACCAATGGTATTTATCTATTTAGATGTGTTATAGAAAGATGCTTCAGGTGACTGTAGATTGGGGAGGGTAGAGCATTTTCAAGCCAACTAAGATGCAGGGAGGATTTCATGCTATTCTTCAAGTCTGACTGAGACTGATAGCAGCACAATTCCCTCCACTTCCTCTCTAGTCTTTCTGATTTTGGTTGATATTTTTACCTGATCGGGTGGGGCCACATTAAAGAGATAACATACTTAGTCTAACAGTGCTTCCTTGGGATCATCTAGAGCACCGCTGAGTCAAATATGTCAGCCAGCTCAGCTCATCACAATAAATATACAACATCTATACACTCCATGTCTTTTCAACCCTTGCAGCTTCTGTTACGGTCCTGTGTTACCTGTGTTCTTCTGTGTCTGTGTGCTAAGGTTGTGACACCGACCATGACTGGTTAATGTCGGTGCATCTGTGTGCTAAGGTTATGGCCCTGACCATGACTGATTAACCATGTGCTCACTGGTCGAGTGGCAACTGGCCATTATTTGACAAGGGTAAAGTAAATAAGGCTTAATGTGAGAGCAACCAAGTCATCCCAAACGTTTTAAGGCTACTGAAGCCTCCTTCTACATCAAGAAGTTGGCATTGTGCGGATTTAATTTTCTGGAAAGATGTACAAGTCTTCTCTAGGTTCTGAAGCTTAAATCTTGGAGCTGGGTGACTCTGGGAAGCTGGAAGCTCTGAACCCAGAGAACAAAAGGGGAGTGAGTGCTGTGTGGTTTAGATAGCTCAGGCCTCACTCCTCAGTGAGTGCTCGCTAGTGACTGGCTAAAATCACATTCTTTTGCGGTGAGCGAGAGGAGGACTGGATGAAACATGCTTAGGGTAGACCTATTATGATGATGATGAAGACACATAAAACTGGCCCAGTGCATTCTCACACAGCATCCAGGAAATGTTCGCCAGAGCCTTCTGTCTGAAAGCAGAGTGCGTGTTGGCTCCATAGTGTAATGTTTAGCACTCTGGAGTCTGAAAGCAGACTGCAGGATGAGATGCTTTCCCGTCAGTGAAGTTGACCCATCTTCTTTCCCTTTCTTTTCCATTGCCTTTCCAGGCTACTATCGGCAGTACCGCCAGGAGCCTGTCAGCTTTGGCAACATTGGTTTTGGAACCCCCTACTACTATGTGGGCTGGTACGAGTGTGGAGTCTCCATTCCAGGAAAGTGGTGACCGCAGGGTCAGCTCGCTGCAAGTCTACCCTCCAGGTCTGCTTGACTAACTTGCACTAGGGACTGTGGGCGAGAGAAAGACAGTGTTCCAAGCCCGCTGCCCCAGGGTATCAGGAGGCCACAGGGTAGACACAGGGCATTTGGTCCTCTTCAGTTGGAATTTGGCCACATTTCTTGGTCTGGACTATAAATAGAATTCAGTTTTGCTGAAACTTCACTTCTCCGCGCTTTGTTTATTTGTAATCACACGTTCTGGAGACGTCAAGCTAGCGGCGGATCCAGTGTGACTTCCAGACTCTTCCAGCACAAAATTTGGACACTCCAGGATCTCCAAGGAACAGCACTGGCATGCTGTGTTTACTTCTCAGAATGCCCTCTGCTTTTCTCGTCTTCCAATCAGCTGAGTTTAAGCCTCACACCTGTCCGTATGAAGTAGACTCTAATTGCTGACATTACCAAAGGAAACACATTCTCTTTGAGATTTGTACGAAAGACTTATCTACCACTGGGCTAAGTGCATCAAATCTTATCTGTAAATTCTCAATTTTGATATATATGTGTGTGTATATATGCATATACATACCTACACTCATCGAGAATACTGATTAAAGTTGCTAAATTTATATTTGTTCTTTAGATGAATGTGTGAAGACTTTGTGGACACAGGTTCTGTTGGTTAATAGCTTTTTGAGGTATCCGGGGGCAGGTTCTCTGCAGAATAAGGATTCTGTGAAATGGTATGCATGCTTCCAGTAGATGCCGTTCAACTCAGGCCATGATGGAGGTGTGGATGAGAAATACCACTACTAGCAACCCAGGTGCCTTCCTCCAGTCTTTGAATATCATGGAATAGATGACTTTATCGCCTTTGCTGAAGCATCTCTCTCTCTCTCTCTCTCTCTCTCCCTGTGTGTGTGTGTGTGTGTGTGTGTGTGTGTGTGTGTGTGTGTGTAGACTTGGGTACATAATTGTGTGTGGATGTGGATGTGTGTGTAGAAGCCATGGACAGCTCAGATATCAGCCCCCAGGAGCTATCCCTCTTTTGGCTGAGACAAGGTTTCTCACTGAAAGCTGGGCTGGTCATGAGCCCTAGGGATCTGTGGTCTCTGACCACTCTGGGATTTACAGTCTAGGCTGGCTGGCCAGTAAACCCTAGGAATCTACCATTTCTTAACCCTGCCCATCCCCAGTACTAGCATTGCAAGGATGTGACACCATACCCATTTTTGTTTTTGTTTGTTTTGTTTTGGTGTGTGTCTGTTGTGTGTGTGTGTGTCTGTGTGTGTGTATGTATCTGTCTGTGTGTGTGTGTTCGTGTGTGTGTCTGTGTGTGTGTCTTTGTGTATGTGTGTGTGTGTGTGTCTGTGTGTGTGTGTGTCTGTGTATGCTGGGTATTGAACTCAGGTCCCCATGCTTACACAACGCGTGCCTTCCTGACTGGGTTCTTTCTCATCAGCCTCTTTAATGTGCTTCTAGATGAATGAATACTTTATGTTCAATGTGGTTTTGAAGTCATGTCTTTAAAAGTTCAATCTTCCTTTCTTTCGGTCTCTACATCTATTCCTGAAATAGAAGCATCTTCCTGGATTGTGGCACAGAGGGTTGGTTCCTTTGGACCCTTTGTTTCCACGGTGTAAATGTGTTTGTCCTTCCTGTGGTCCCCGGCTAGCCCTGTCTTCTTGCGTCGAAGTGTCAGCAGCAGAGAAGATGAGCTGGAAGAAAGTGTTGCTGGGTGGCAGGGTCACTCCTGACACAAACCATGGGTGCAGGAGAGCAGGGGCTGGTGGCTTTCAGACCCTGCACTGGGCTGAGGTAACACCTCCTGTAGCCGGCCATTCTGAAGGTAAAACCTACGAAGACACAGCTGCCTTTTCATAACTTTGAGACCAGCTTGTGATGCCAGGTACCTTCCTGACATTTCTGCACGACCGCTGCCCAGTGGCAACAGCAAAGGCAATGCTAGAACTTCTCAAAACAGCCTGTAGTCCCTGGGATGGATGTTGCCGAGGAGCTATGATTGGGGCAACCCCCCCAAATGTGCATAGATATAACATTGTGAAAGTTTTTTGCATTTTCTGTAGGTCTGATGTACAGTTCTCAAATGTGAACTTTGTGGATGATAAAAATCACATTGCAGTATCAAAAGATCAGATTCACCCACTTTAGAGAGACAAAAATCACATGTTTATCCAATCTGAGTTTGCTAACCACATAGGAATCTTTAAGTAGTTTTGGGAGGCTCTCACACATAATAGGTAGATTGTTGAAGAAGATGCCTTAGTCTCCGCACTGGCCAGCATCAAATGTGCTTCATGGTGCGAGATTGAGAGTAACCCAGAAACCATTTTCAGAAAGTATGGAGACTGTGATCTGGCATCCATCTCTGCCACCAGTAGAAGGCTAGTGACAGGAGACCCAGACACTGAAGCATAGGCAGCAAATCCAGGGTGATCTAACCAATAAGACAGACAGATGGACAGAGAGACAGACACAGGCAGGCATGCTGGAGAGATGGCTCAGCAGTTACCAGCACTTGACACTCTTACAGAGGACTTAAGGTTTGTTCCTAGTACCCACCTAGGATGGTTCACAGCCTCCTATAACTCCAGATCCAGGGGATCTGACACCCTCTCCTGGCCTCCATGGGGACCAGCCACACATGAACTTTTACTCAAAGACACACACATAAAATTTTTTTCACATAACTAAAATCCTTTAATCTAAAAGTCCAATAAATAACTACTGATCTAGTGTTATATTTTTAGGATAGGTGTAGATGATATTAAAAGCAAAGAAACAGGGTACCTTTCTTTAATGGTTTTTATTTTCTGTTAATGGGTGTTTTGCCTATGTGTGTCTGCAGTGCCTGCAGAGCCTCCCCTGGGACTGTAGTTTTAGACAGTTGTAAGCTGTCATGTGGGAGCTAGGAACCGCTCCCAGGGCCTCTGAGAGCGAAAAGTGCTGTTTACCATTGAGCCATTGCTCCAGCTCCAGAGTTCCTTTCTTCTTCATTATTATTATTATTATTATTATTATTATTATTATTATTATTTTATTTAGGTTAGAAACAATCTTGTTTCACATGTCAATCCCAGCTCTCTCTCCCTCCCCTCCTCCCCATTCCTCCCCACCAGGTCCTCCAGTCCCCCACCCAATCTCCACTCTGATCCCCAGGGAGTGTGAGCCCCTCCATGGTGGATCTCCAGTGACTGTCATTTCATCCAGGGCGTGGCTTAGGCCCTTCTCCAAGAGTCCCAGCTGAGAGAGTCTCCCATATTGTGGCATAGGTACTCAAAGTCTATTTGTACACCAGGGATACTACCCAAGGCCCCATAGATTACCTAGGCCTCCTCACTGACACAAACATTCATGGGGTCTGGGTCAGTCCCATGCTTTCCACACAGCCATCAATCTGGAGTCTAAGAGCTCCCCCTTGTTCAGGTCAACTGTTTCTGTGGGTTAAACCAGCCCAGTCTTAACTCCTTTGCCCATCAATTCTCTCTGACACTGGATTCCAGGAGTTCAGTTCAGTATTTGTCTGTGGACATCTGCCTCTGCTTTCATCAGTCGCTGGATGAGGGTTCTGTTTCCCAGACTCTCTGGCAGTGTGATTGTATGATGGCACTCCACTGAGTCATGTCTAAAATCCATAAATGAGTGAGTACATACCATGTTTCTTTTTTTCACACATAAAAATTTTAAAAAGAAAGATAGGTAGATATGATAGACAATAGATGGTAGATGATAGATAGATGGATAGATAGACAGACAGACAGACAGACACATTAGATAGATACTATCAAAGGTCTTGGCTGGGGCAATTAGCTTACATGGTTATAGAGGATGACAAGTCCTACAACTGTCTGAAATTTGGAGAGCCTGGAATGCTAGCAGTACACCTGGGCTTAGGGCTGAAGGATCTAGATCCAAGAACATCAAGGGTGTTAGTGTCATGCCAAGACTAAAGGCCTGAGAACCTGTCTGGTCCAATGGCATCCAGAGCTACTGACCACAGAGTTCTCTTTGCAGAAGGGGCATGCCCAGCTCCAAGAGAATGAAAGCATGCTGTCTTTCCTCTGTCTCTGTTTTCCCGGAGACCCAAGCTGACTGAAAGATGTCCACCCACACCGAGGGTGGCTTTTCTCCATCAGTCCACTGAGTAACAGGCCAGCTTCCATGGGGAACACCAGTGCAGACAATCTCTCTAGCATGCCATTGGTTCTATAGGCATTTCTTGATCTAATCAAGTAGATACCCAAATTTCTGTCAGTGACATTCCATTCCGATTAAATTAAAGAACACATGGAATAAATCTCTGGTGGTCATTTTTAATTTTTAGAAGTGCAAATTCTGGGTGTGACACTTTAGAAAGGCCATTGACAGCAAGGTGACATTGAAGACAGAGGAAGGTATGAAATGCGGGGCCATATTATAATGATCTCCACTGAGATGCTTTGTCTAAAGAGAAAACTTTACCTCCTTGGAAGCCTGTGATGAAAGAGAATGCTTGTCAATTCACATGTCAGAGCAGATACCCAAGGGGTTACAGGGAAAGGAAACTGGCCAGAGTGACAACACATTTTGGAGGAGTCCAACCTCGAGTGAGCGAGTGTCTCTGTAAGCGGTGAGCTGCCCTTCCATAGAGGAAACACAACCAAGGGTGGCGATCCCTGGGCTCGATGCCCACCCTGCTGTATGTGGCCTGTAAATCCGCAGTGGTCTGTAAAAAGTGCTGTAAACGATACAGAAGATGTAAACAAACAGCCAGTAGCCTGGGCCGGAGACCTCAAACAGTGGGAGGCCTGAAAAAAAGTATGATCTGGTGGTCTTTTGGGGAAAAGTCTGTATAGCCACGAGTTTGAGCTTTCAATGTTTGAAGTCCTAATTTAAAAGTAACATGCACTAGTCTGGGGAGAGAGCTCAGTAAAGTGCTGGCTGGGATTTGAATTTGATCCCACATAAAACAAAGACAAAACAAACTTAAACAGCCAAACACCAACAAAACACATTTTTAAAAAAGCCCGTGTGTCATGGCATGCTCTTTTAATCCCAAACAGAGGCGAATGGAACCTGGGACTTCACTGGCCGGCTAGCCTCACAGAACTAGTGAGTTTCAGATGAATTCTAAGACCCTGTCTCGAAGGTAGGTCCCAAGCTCACTTGGTAAAGGGCCTGCTACACACGAATGAAGACCAGCTAGAATTCTAAGCACCGTTATGCAAAGCTGGGCATGGCAGCATAGCCTGTAGCCCCAGCACTGGGGCCAACCAGCCTACCTGAGTCAATAAGTTTTTACCTAAGGGAGAGACCACACACACAAGCGCTCACAGTCAACACAAACAAGAATACCACACTCAAACAGCACACACGAGTACCAACATGGATACCTCCCGAGGAACAATACCATACATGCACACACTTCTACCACACTTGCACATATATTCACGTGCCCACATACACTAGATTATAGTGTTTCATGTATTTAAGCTCTTTTGTCTTAAAATAGGTTTATTTTCTGACCACCATCTCCCTGTGCCCTGAGTTCTGTGTTTGGTGGCTGGGTCCTGGGTTCCCATGCTTCCAGCTTGGAAAGCCTTTTGCTTATGTTGTGATCTTGGGAACG